AAATTGTGTTGTGCGTTCAAGTTCAATTTCCACTTGCTGGTATACAGGAAAACAATGAATTTTGGTCTACTGACCTGTATACTGCAACCTGGCTATAGTCATTTATTAGTTCCAGGAGGTTTTTAATTTATTTTTTGATTCTTTTGAATTGTGTACATAGTTGATGTCATAAAGTAAAAAAGAATTATTTTATCCCTCCTAATTTGTATACCTTCCATTTCCTTTTCATTTCTTATTGAATCAGCCAGGACTTCCAATACGATGTTGAAAAGCAATGGTGAGAAGGACATCCTTGCCTTATTTTGATCTTAGGAAAGCTTTTAAAGGATACTTTCTCAGGGTACAGAATTCTAGGTTGGTCGTTTTTCCTCTCTCAACACTTTAAACATGTCACCTTGCTCTCTTCTTGCTTGCGTGTGTTCTGAGGAGCAGTTGGTTGTAATTCTTTGTTCCTTTAGAAGTAAGGTCCCACCCCATAGCTTTTTTTCGTGAATTTTTCTTAATATTTGATTTCTAAAGTTTGAATATGGTATGCCCAGGCATAGGATTTCGGGCATTTATCCTGCTTTGTGGTCCTTGAGCTTCCTGGTTCTGTAGTTTTGTGTGTGGTATTAATTTGGAGAAAATTCTCAGTCATTGCTTCAAATATTGCTTCTGTTGTTTTTTCTTCTTCTGATATTTCCACTGTGCATTTGTTACACATTTTGTAGGTGTCCACAGCTCCTAGCTATTCTCTTTTGTTTCCCCCACAGTATTTTTCCTTTTTACTTTTCAGTTTTGGAAGCTTCCATTGTCATATCTGAAGCTCAGAGATTCTTTCCTCAGCCATGTCTAGACTAATAAAGAGCCCATTATTCTATTGCAGTGGTTTTTTTTCTCTCTCATCTGCAGCATTTCTTTATGATTCTTTCTTAGAATTCCCACCTCTGTGCTTACATTATCTATTTTTCTTGCATGTTTTCTGCTTACCCTATTAAGGCCTTAGCATGTTATTCATAGTTTTAAAAACCCCTTGTCTGATCATTCTGACATCTCTGCCATATCTAATTCTGGTTCTGGTAAATGCTCTGTCTCTTTCAATTGTGCTTTTTCCCTTTTAGTATGCCTTGAAATTTTTGTTGAAATGTGGACAGGATTCACTGGGTAAAAAGATGTGTGGTAAATAAGCTTTTAGTAATGGAATGGGAGGTATGGAGAGAAGGGAAGTATTTTATAGTCCGTGAGTACGTCTCAGTCTTCTGATCAGTCTGTGCCTCTGGGCTGCACACTTGACCAGTGCTTCTCAGTACTTGCCACCCTTAGGTGAGACAGAATGGTGAGAGGGGGCTAGGTTGGGTATTTTCCTTACCCCAGATAGGTTAGGCTCCGGTTAACTAGTTTCTCCTGAGGGCAGACCTTGTTAAGAACATAATGCTCTGGCATATTTCAAAATGGTTTCTCTCCCCTCCCTCTACCAGGAGCATAAAGGGATTTTTTTCAGATATCCACTGTGAGGAATTCATAGAATTCCTGCAGGTAAAACTCAGAAAAGTGTGCTCCCAGCCCCAAAGACAGGGCCTTCTTAGAGTTTTTAGCTCTCAGACTTGTCCACTCTGAGCTTCCAGCAATTCAACAACTAGAGTTGTGGTTTCCTTACTCCAGCACTGTTTCCCATGGAGGTTTCTTCTCCTGCAAATTGTGATTTTTGTTTCCACATTTCTGTCGCTCCAATATTTGGGGCAGCAGTTTGCCCTGTGACCTCACTTCTCTGAAGGCTATAAGAAGTGTTCCTGATTCTTCAGTCTGTTCAACTTCTTACTTGTTATGATTGAGTGGCAACTCCTGGGCTCCTTACATGACAGACTAGAACCGAAGTCCTCCAAACAACTCTGTTTTCATACTAATATTTCCTTGGCTTATATAGTATTTAAGTGAAATATATACATAGGCATGACTTAGTGTTAAGAAATTGACTAAGTAAATATGCAGCTCAAATCATGAGTGTAAAAACAGATGAGTATATTAAAAACTAGACTACTAGCTGAGAGTATTCAGTGTGTGTGGGCATTAGTTAAGTCAAGATGTTTTTAAAGAAGAAAGAGAATTGACCAACCAAGCAAGCTAGTTAAATGGAGATAAATTAAGAAAACTTATACATACGTTCAGCCACAATAATTTAATTTATTGTAGCATCCCTTCAAAAAATAACTGTGAAATCAAAAAGGAAACACTATGCATTGATACTACCAAAATAAAAGAACGAATGAATGAACATAGAAATTATCAAATTAATACATAAGGGAAATGAAGAATTTAGATCCTAAATTAATTATCCACAAAAGCAGTAGAAAATGTAAAAAAAAAAAATTCTTAACACTAAGAAACCAAATTTAAAAAGAGCTAAAAATAATAAAATATCAGATGAAAGAGAAAAAAGTGAGAGAGAGTTCTCTAGGTTTCAGAGGGAATGGAGAATAAAATAAAAGCCCAAAATGAGCACCCATTAGAACAGGAAGACATGACAGAGAAACACAAAACAAAATTTTTTAAAAATCAAAGGCAAATAACTATATAAAAGGAAAAGTGAAATAACAAATCCATTGTATACATAATTATTATTTCTGAAGAAGAGACTGTTACAATAGGAAAAAAATCAAAGATAGACAGCAAAAGAAGATGTATTTTGAACAACTGATAGGACAGTGCATTGTAGGAACAGCTGATAGACTGTTTTACACTGGAAGATACCTGAGTCCAGAGCCAATGTGACCTTGGCTTTTCCCTTGTGATTTTCCATATTCATAATAGATATGAATAAATCTTCAAATATGTCAAGGTGACTCTAAGAAACTATTATTAGTAAAGTAAACTTATGTACTTGTTACATCAAAAAATGGATAGAGAAGCTCTTTCCAACTCCACGATTCTATAAATCTTAGCCTGGGTCATTCTTCTGATAAGGTTTCAATGAAAACACTTTCAGGAGGCAAATGTAACTGTACAGTTTTACACTTTTGTTTAACATATTCATAAAATGTACTAATGTCATCTAGTCAGTAATAATTGTGACTTCTGTGGAAGTCAATCTTTCCGGGGAATAGTAACATTTTTATATACTGGAGCAAACACTTGGCAAACAAATCAATTGGTACATTTACCGTTCTGTACCTGCCCCAAATGAGTTTATAAAATACCAGGAGCAGTGACTTAACCAGTATGACTTTTCAAATATTCATGTATCGTGCAGTTTGTTAAAATGCCCCAAGAAATTGGTACTAATTCTATGACATATTTTCATGCAATATTTTTGATAAATTGGAGAATATTAGAGATCAGCTGCACTTTGTCTATTTTCTTTCTTAGAAGGATGGCATAGCAAAAAAAAAAAAAATGAATGCATGCCTTATCAAAGAGAAATGTATGTGTGATTCTTTGATTTACTCTCTTTCTTGGGGTAAATGGAAGGCTATAATGAAATGAATTAACAGACAAATATTAATTCTCCACTACATTTCAGGAATGTGTATAAGGGCAGCCTGGGGTTAGTTATAAAGAATATATGTGTTTGTGCTAGAGATGTCCGCAGTAGGCGGGTGGTTGGCACTAACAAATCTGCTTACAAAAACACACTTTTCCAAAGATAAAAAAAAGTGATATAAAAATGTCCAATGCATACAGCATCACCCTTTATATCAAAGGGCGCAAGAACTAGGTCTGTGGTTTTTTGGGTTTTTTTTAATCTTCACCTGAGGATATTTTTCCCATTGCTTTTCAGAGAGTAGAAGGGAGAGAGAGAAGGAGAGAGAGAGAAACACCGATGATGTGAGAGAGACAGATCAATCGGTTGCCTCCTGCACATACCCTGACTGGGGCTGGGATCAGCCCACAGCCCTGGTACATGCTCTTGACCGGAACTGAACTTGGGACCCTTCAGTCTGCAGGCCAACGCTCTAACCACTGAGCACAGCTGGCCAAGGCTTGGAATGTTTTTTAATCTTTGATTCCCCGATAGACTTGGAAGAGGACCTTGCCCATTGGCCCGTTGTAAGCATCGAATGGTTAAGTGAATGATTACATGTTCAGACACTAATTTCTGAAGGCAAAGCAGAGAGTATATTTATTTAGGGTCAGGATGAACCCAGAAACCATCTATGCTTTTCACAGGTGACAAGAGTCATGCACTTTCCGAGACACAGACAACGATTAGAAGCCCATGACAAAAACCCTGCCCTACTCCGCTTGTTACCCTGTGTTTTGTGTGACATCACACAGGCTAAGACTGCTTGAAGTCCTGGAAGCTCTGATCATGGCCTGCGTTTGCCAGCCAGACCTAGTCCAACCCGGTGCACCAGAGAACCTGAGTCCTTAGGAAATTCTTCCTAATGTGTCCCCTGAGTTCTTGATTCAGGCAGTCCCTACCTAGGAGGACCTCATTCCTTAGAAAGGAAATATGCGGATGTACCAGTCGGCCTTCCCACTCCCACATTACAACCCACACACATCGTTTCTTAGCAAATGTCTCCCTCAAACATCCAGGACACACTGGCCTGTAAAAAGTGCTGCAGAATTACTTTCCTATTACCCTCACTACTCAAGAGGTTTTCCTTTCATTCTAATGAAAATTCCCTTCGTTACTGTTTGAGAGTGGCAGGAAATTGGACCAGATAGCCTTTTTTTAAATGCATTTCAACTTCAAGATCTCAAAATTTATAATATTTCTTGTATATAGTATAACTTCTAAAATAGGTACTTTTATTTCCCCAAATGAGCCAGATTCCTTCAATGATTTCTGGGGTTAAACTATGGAGCCGGGAGGGAGCTCTGAGTCTGTGAGGCTTGTTTTTAATTCTTTAGCCGTAGAAAACGATATTCTTCATGCCTAGTCAGCTAAGCCAAGCTAAAGGTATTTTCCTTAAAATGTACATATAACTACCACGTATTATAACATTGTTATTTTTATAATTACTCCATATTAGAGAAGTCCTCAGTTTAATCATTTAATTTTATATTATTTATTACAGGACAGGATAATAGAAAATGATAGCAATTGCCTGAATAATGAACATAACTTTTTTAAAAAGCACTCATGTGATGATGATAAGGTAATGATAATTATTTGGAGTTTATATGTCCTTCGAGCTTGATTTCATAGAAGCTTATATTTTTTTGTATCTCCGTTAGATAATTATATTGATTATATTAATAACATATTCCTTTGATTCTAAGCAGACAGTTTCCACTGATCTATTAAATCATACTGTGTTCTTCTTTTATACTTTTACTTTACAAATAGCCCTGGGCATATTTGATAAATATATATTTTTTAATTTAGCATTTCATTTTTCACTTATAAAATGCTAGAAGCACTGCTGAGTTCAAAGACATCGATTTTGAAATCTTTATGTAGGAAAATGCTTGTTAGAGTGATTGCTTACACACACATAAGCATAAGTTATGGGCATAATTTAGTTGTAAGCATTTAGGAATTTTTTCTTTCAATATTTGCTAATCTTCACAACTCTACCACTTCTAGTTGGTGTAATAATGTAATTTATAAAACTTTCAACGTTTGTGTGATTTCTTTGCACAAAAACCAGTATTCAAAGACCTTTTTAAAACACATGGTAGCTGAGTTAACCTCATGACATCTCATAGTATATATTCATAAATCCTTTTTTAAAAAATTCTATAATTACAGTAAATGTCTGAAAAACTTGTTTTAGATGAATACAACCCTATATTTTCCTATTACCAGCTATCCATCCATAGCTCAAAAGATTCAAGATAGTAACAGTAAGAAAAACCACACATACCTTTTATTATTGTCGCTTCCAGAAGACCTCTCTTTTGGTTATTTTGCTTACAATTAAGTAAACTTGTTATGTTCACCCACACGTGGTAGGAACTCACATATATAACAGGGAAAGAGAATTTAAAAAGCTAGCTAATCATTAAACCAAGTTGCAGGCCCTTCAGGCTGTCGGTTGGGGCTCCAGAGTTTCCGTCTAGTTGCTTGTCAGTCATGTGATTAACTGGAATAGAAGCCGGGTGGAGGCTGGGCATTATTCAGCAATAGGGCTCTGGCTTTAGGATCCTTAAGAAAGCTTTCCATTTCTTAATATTTTATGTGAACCACAGCCCTTCTGATTTTTTCTTTTCTGTAATAGGAAGCTCCGTTTTTAAAAGCTGCTGCTCGCAAGTTGAAGCAATTTCTTAAAATGAATATCACTGAGGAATTCAAGCTCCCCTTATCAATAGTTTCACAGGGCACATTAAAACTGTTGAACTGCACCAGGAAGGTAAGCTGAGGACTGTTTACTTTGAACAAAAATATAAACTACTCCCGTGATAGGATATTATCATTCTCTAATGATCCATTATCATAGAATTCTAGCTGCTTATTTTAACTTAAAGTTGAAAGACATTCACTTAACTCCAGAAGAGGAAAATCTCAACTTCAGTGCCTATTCATTTCTTGCTAGGGCCAATCAAAAGTTATTAAAAAGGAAGTAAAAACATATGTGAACTTCATTGCTACAATAACTTTCAAGGAGCCTAGTGTGAGAAATTGGGTGGGGAAAGGTAAATTTTTATCTCTAAAACCTATTAATAATTTTAATCCATATGTGTATAAATTTATGAAAACTCATAGCCAATAAAACAGGTAAAATGTACTTAACACATGTCTTTCTACATTAACACTGGATATATATATAATCTATATATATTATATATATTATCTCCATATATATGTGTGTGTGTGTATATATGTATGTATGTGTATATATATGTGTGTGTGTATATAAAATCTCCAACAATTTTCTATTTCTTTGCTTCAATAATTTAGATAAGTATAGGGCTAATCTTTCCCTACATCTCTGCTGATGGTTGTTAATCAATAAAACAGAATTTGGAAGACATTATCTTGAATCAGACAACAGTTTCTTCATCTACAAAATGGAAGAAAACATAGTATGTACATTATAGCCTATTAAAAGCTTAAATGGCGTAATTCACATAAAGTGCTTAGGATCAAAAAGTTTCAATAGATGTTATATTGTTATTATCACTATTCCCTCCCTCTTCAGGAATTTTACCAGCTGTCACACAAAGCCAAAAGGTTTCTTATTATTTTTTTAAAGAAAATTTTTAAATTTTATGATAGAAAAAGGGTTGTGTGTTATTTTTTAATACCAGTAGGTGCCCCCAGAAAGGGAAATGGTAAGACTGCTTTTGAGCCCTACTGACAGTGATGATGAAGATGATATCAGCTGAACCGGTTCACTCATCACCTTACCTACACGATGCAAGCCAGTCTCCCCTGGCGTCCTGGGTTTGCCAAGCTTATTTCCCATTTTGTTCCCTTATTTATGTTAGTGTTAGCCCCGTATGTGGGATTTCTACTGTTCTCTTTTCTATAAATGTGATCTGTCCTGTTCTTTACATCCTTCAAGGCCACGCTCAAGATTCATGGAGACTTTCTAGTCTAACCTACCGGCTCTTAATCATTACTCATAGTGATTCCAAATTCCTGCCTAATGCAAGAATGGCCAGCAGGTTCCTCGGTGCTTACATATCCAGTTGCTTAGTAGTGACTGTTGGAAACACTGTGCTGAGTATAAGCCTCAGGTCAGGGCTCAACTGAAAAACTGCAAACAAACTAGCGATATCACCTCTTGACCTTCGAAGGTTAAGGGTTTTGGGTATGCTATATACGTGCAGTTCCTCCTCTCATGTGTTGATCTCTGAATGGATCACCATGTTCCAAAATCAGCTGTCAAGAAGGAAAACACAAGTGATTTATTCTTGAAATGAAATAAAATTATGTCACAAAACTAACTGACCTGATACAGCCCACCTTTTTCTTAAAGTGATAAGGTAAGGCGTTAAAGACCATCAGCTACACTGACTTTTCTTCGTGAGTCAGGCCTGCTATGGGCATTTACTGTTGTTTATTTCATTTTGCTTCGGATGGGCAAAGCGTAAGAAGATATACGGTCAGGATTTCACAGTTTAGTGATACTTTTATTTTCATGCTGATTAAAATTCTAGTTTTGCCTCTGTTACTATACCCTTCTATATTAGGTTTTCATGCCTCACAGCCATTAACACAGTGCTGGGCATACCTACAAAATCCAGGTATTCAGAAGACTAACCTCTCCTGCTTCTTTCTGTTCCCTCATACAGGCATACCTTGGAGATATTGCGAATTCCCTTCCAGACCACCCCAATTAAGCGAATGTCGTAATAAAGCGAGCCACACCATTCTTTTTGGTTATCTAGTGCACATCCCAGAGTTACGTTCACACTACACTGTAGCCTACTAAGTGAGCGATAACATTATGAGTAAAAAAATGTACATACCTTAATTTAAAAAGATTTTAGCGCTAAAAAAATGCTGACCGTCACCTGAGCCTTTGTGAGTGGTCATCTTTCTGTGGGTGGAGGGTCTTGCCTTGATGTTGATGGCTGCTGACCGATCAGCGGTGGCTGCTGCAGGTTGGAGAGGCCATGGCAATTTCTCAAAATAAGACAACAGTGAAGTCTGTCACATCAATTGGCTCTTCCTTTCACAGATGACTCATCTGGCGCATGTGATGTTTGATAGCATTTTACCCACGGTAGAGCTTCTTACAAAATTGGAGTCAGTCTTCTCAAATCATGCCGGTGCTTTATCAACTAAGTTTATGTAATATGCTAAATGCTTTGTTGTCATTTCAGCTCTTCACAGCATCTCCACCAGGAGTAGATTCCATTATTTATCCAGATGAAGCAACTCCTCCCCCATTAAGGTTTTATCATGAGATTATAGCAATTCAGTCACATCTCGAGGCTCCACTTCTAATCCTAGTTCTCTTGCCATTTCTGCGCATCTGCAGTTACTTCCTCCATTGAAGTCTTGAACACCGAAAATCATCCATGAGGGTTAGAAACAACTTCTTCCAGACTCCTGTTAATGTTGATAGTTTGACCTCTTCCCACGAATAACAAAGATTTTTATTGCCATCTGGAATGGCAAATCCTTTCCAGGTTTTCAAATTATTTTGCCCAGATCCATCAGAGGAATCACTGTATACAGCAGCTGTTGCCTTTTGACATGTATTTCTTAAATAATAAGACTTGCAAGTTGAAATTACTCCATTTTCCATGGACTGCAGCATGGATGTTGTGTTAACAGGCATGAAAACAACATTAATCATGTTGTCTAGCTCCACTGGAGCTCTTGGGTGACCAGGCGCGTTGTCAACGAGCAGTGATATTTCAGAAGGAATCTTTTTTTTTTTTTCCTGCGCAGTCTTAACAATAGGCTTAAAATATTCAGCAAACCATGTTGTAAACAGGTGTGTTACCATCCGGGCTTTGTTGTCCATTTATAGGGCACAGGAAGAGTAGGCTGAACATAATTCTTAAGGGCGCTAGGAGTTTCAAGATGGAAATTGAGCATTGGCTTCAACATAGTCACCAGCTGCATTAACTCTAACAAGAGCTCCAGCCTGTCCTTGGAAGCTCTGAAGCCAGGCATTGACTTCTCTCTAGCTGTGAAAGTCCTACATGGCGCCTTCTTCCAATGTGAGGCTGTCTCACCTACATTGAAAATCTGTTGTTTGGTGCAGCCGACTTCGTTAATTATCTGAGTTAGACTGGGTAACAGTGCAGCTTCTGCGTCAGCACTGGCTGCTTCACCTTGCACTCTTGTGTCGTGGAGATGGCTTCTTTCTTTAAACCTCATGAGACAGCCTCTGCTGGCTTCAAACTTTTCTTCTGCAGCCCCCCTCACCTCTCTGAACCTTCACAGAATTAAAGACAGTTAAGGCCTTGCTCTGGCTTAGGCTTTGGCTTAAGGGAATTCTGTGGCTGGTCCGATCTTCTCTCCAGACCGTTTCTGCCTATCAGCAATAAGGCTGTTTTGCTTTCTTAGCACTCGTGTGTTCACTGGAGTAGCATTTTTCATTTCCTTCGAGGCTGTTTCTATTGCTTTCACAGCTTGGCTAACTTCACTGCAAGAGGCCTACCCTTCAGCCTGTCCTGTCTTCCCGCATGCCTTCATGACTCACCGAGCTTACTCGTTTCTACTTTTTGACTTAAAGTGAGAGGTGTGCAACTCTTCCTTTCACTTGAACACTTAGAGGCCGTTGGAGGGTTATTAATTGGCCTAAATCAGTATAATTGTGTCTCAGGGAATGGGGAGGACCAAGGAAAGGGAGTGAGACAGAAGAATGGCTGGTCTGGACACATTTATCTGTCAGATTTACTATCTTTTATGGGTACAGTTCATGGTTCCCCCATAACAACTGCAATAACAACATCAAAGATCACTGATCACAGATCATCATAACAAATATAATAATAATGGAAAAGTTTGAAATATTGAGAGAATTACCAAAATGTGACACGGAGGTACAGAGCCAAGTAATGTTGCAAAAATGGTGCCAATAGGCTTGCTCAGTGCAGGGTTGCCACAACCTTCAATTTGTAGGCACAATAAAGCGAAGCGCAATACAACAAGGTATGCCTGTATTCTATTTCTAAATGAAATTAGTATTCTGCCATACTAACAACACATAATTTAAAGTAGATTCTCAAAAATATCAGATGATCTGAGAATAATATATGAAAATTAGCAATTACATTAGTGGGAGAAGCGATAAAGAATTAATATTCAATGTTGTAAATGTAACTTTGTTTTTAAGGATAAAGAAAAAAAACAACTTTCCCTGGGTGAAGCCCAGCCCACTAGGACTTTGGTAAGAATAATTGTACAATTTTTTTTTTATCAGTTTTTACTTAATTCCTTAATGTTTCTCTTTGAATTTTCTTTTTTATGGTTGGTTTTAAAAATATTCATTATAATGTTAATAAAAGTAGCAAGAAGGTACTTCTTAGAAATTGGATCCCTTTAAACTGTTTTTTAAATAACCACTATTTTAAAATAAAAGTAGCTAGGGGAAACATCAGATCATTGATTTTCCGAAAAGCAACAAAATCGAAACATCACTAGGTAATAGGCAAAAGGAAGGAACAAACGATATAGGAGAAAATAAACTAGAAAACAAGCATATGAAGAAAAAAAGCCATCCTTCTTCGTTAGTAAAGAAATACAAATTAAAAATGAGAACACATTTTATACCTATTTTATTAGTATACAGTATACTATATATGCTATATATGTATGTGAATATTCTATATCTTATTTATATTAAATATTTATACTAGTAAATATTATTGCAGAATGTTATATAGCAATATAAATATAAATATGAATGAAGAACTCAGGATAATTAAATTTGATTAAATAGTAAAATGATATCAGTATTAACTAGGAAAGCACATGTGCAAATGGACACACCTGGTTCATAAGAGTGACAGGTTCTCCTTTCATATCTCCATTATTATTATAATGTCATTTGAGCAATAGATACATGGGAACGTGAAAATTCCTTGCCCCTCTTAGAGAAGGGGGCAGCTTGCCCCCTTCCTCAGGAAGCCTAGGAATCCACTTGAAGTGGCAGAATTGAAATGAATGCCCGAGCGGTGTAGACACACGGAGGGCTTCTGGCTGAGAACATGCGGGTGCTGGGCACACGGTGCAATACACAGATCACATGTTATAGAGACGCACACTTGAAACCTACATAATCTTATTAACCAGTGTCACCCTAATAAGTTTAATTTTTAAAAAAATGAAAGGACCTGAGAACAACAACAACAAAATTGGAAAGAAAGATATAGAAAGCAGATAATATCTGTGTTCCCAGGATAACAGAAATAAAATAAATCATGGTCCTTCATTTTTGTCTTTTTTGTGAATGTTCACTCTTGGTCTCTGAGGAAAAGTCATGAAATTTTCAAGTCTGTGTATTTCACATCTGCTTGGTCACATAAACCTCCATATGTACTTTTTACTATGTCCTGGGACCCTCATTAAAACATCTGTGAGAAATTCTCCTTCATATTTATTGATATCTGTTGCCTAATCTTTTAAATGGATTATTTCAGGGTTCTGGGTTAATGTTCCTAAATATACACTTAAAAGAGATCCGAATCTGTGACTTAACTACAAATAGGACAGCCGAGCTTAAGACCCGGTCACTATACTTACTTGACATGTGACCGTGGCGGCTCATTCACCCTCTTTGCAGCCGTTTCTTCATCAGTGAAAAGGCAAAATCAGCAATTTCAGAGATAGGTAGATAAAATGAAATAATGTATGTGGAGCACTGGACACATCTCACCTAGAAAACACCCAATAATTGGTTGTTATCCCAGTGAAGGTCCCCTGCCCTGTCCCAAGCCCACTTCCCAGGGGCTCACAGGAGTCTCTCAGCTGAGTCCAGGCAAAGCTGCTCCCCGCATGTCCCTTCCATGTGAGGCACCTCTCCCCACTCTCTGTAGGCTGCATGGGGAACTTTTTAGGGTTTTCATCCGCAAATGAAAATTAGCTCATGAGGCAGGTGCATACCAGACTGTTGGGGTGGACTGCAGGGCACAAGCTCAATCAGGGAGATCCTTAATTATCTTCTTTGCCAACACACTTTACCTATTTTCAGTGTTAACTCTTCCTTCCACAAAAATACATTTTTTCCATATTAAAAAACTTGAGTAGTTTACAGATATCTTTCTCACAAAAGTTTAAAGAGCATTCTTGTCCCACTGTTGCAGCCACCTGACATAGCTCTTTAATGAATTCTAAACCTTAAACCACAACCACCTTGAATTTCCTATATATTGTCACAACTAGAGTTAGAAATCATAGTTTAAAAACCTCACACAAGATTCTCCTTTTCCGTGACACGTACTTTTCAGTAGAACCTAAGATGATGGGAATTAAAGACTGAATATTTGAAAGCATGTATTTTTATAAAAATGTGAACTTAAAACCTTTTTTCTATATTTCTGTAGGAAGAGAAAAAATCTTCAAAGGAACAGAAAAAACAAGATGAAATGTGTTTCCTAAAGATACTACTACAGAAGATAAAAACTTGTTGGAATAAAATTTTGAGTGGCACTAAAGAACATTGAAAAATATGGCGTGGCAATATAAAAAGGTGAACTTTAGTTGCATCCCTCAAGAATCGATCTGCTTGTGCAATTTTTCGGGGTAGAATGCCTCCTAGAAGTTACTGAACGCATCCTGGTAAAAATGGGTTAAAACCTTATTAACTTTTCATACCTTATTACCAAGAATGTACACAAGGCCAGTGATAGGACTATTCGCGTGTTCTGCATGAATGCTCATTTCACAGAGCAATTGAGAAATACACACTGTGGTACTAGAAGGACACAAACAATGGAAACTGAATGCTGCAATCAATGAACTGTTCCATACGTATGTGGACATATATCAGCTGCTGTTAATTTGGGGCTGATTTTTTGTAAGACAATCCATGTAAGGTATTAGCTGCAATCAATAATACTTTTTTAGACCTGTAAAAAAATTTCAGAAGACATGTAAAATCTGTGACGTATATAAAGGTTACAAGGATTAAAAATGAACATAGCTTTATTACCAAAATAATTTTATGGCCTGCTATGCACCAGTATACTGCAACCAGTGTGGAAACTGTCGTCTTCGGGCTGGAAATGTTTCAGAGTTGACAGTGAGACATGGATAACGCCCAGGCAAACAAGAGTCATGTATCTTAAAGCAGAAACAGAAAGGAGTCCAAGATGCTGAAGAGCGGTATCAAGTGGTAATTAAACAGGAATGTGTAGCACAGTGCCTCCAATAGATGGCATAGCAAATGTTTTAACACGAAAATAAAGAATAATTTCACAAAATAGAAAGTCACCTGTTCTAAGGATGCTAAGTCATAGTGCTGAGTTTCTTCTGTCATTTATGTGTAATAAAACTTGTCTAAATGAGTTTGCAATTTGGGAAGTATATTTTTCAGAGAATAATATATATATATTTGCCTTTTAATTAATGGACTGTATATTTAATTTTGACACTATATCTGTATATAAAAATATTTTCATACAGTATTACAAACAAATTTCTTACTTTGGATAACATTTCTCCTTTGATAATAAATGGCCTATGTAATAACACTGTCAGATTCCCTTAATCTCAACAGGATATTTTTTCCAGTTTTATGGGGAAATAATTGACATGCATCACTGTGTAAGTTCAAGGCATAGCCCATGATGGTTTGATTTACATGCATTGTGAAATTATTAACACAATAGGCTCAGCTAACATCCATCTTCTCATGTAATAAAAAGAAAAGAAAGAAAAAAGGAAAACTGTTTTCTCTTTGCAATGAGAACTTCCAGGATTTTCTGTTACCAATTCTCCTATGTAGCATACAAGAGTGTTGGCTATAGTCAGCCTGTTGTACATTACACCCCTGGTACTTATTTATCATATAACTGGGAGGCTGCACCTTTCGACCCGCTGCCTGCAGTCTCCCCCGCCCCCCCATCCCCTACCCTCTGCATCTGGTAACCAGTCTGGTGTCTTTTTCTATGAGCTTTTGTTTTTAGATTCCACACAGGAGATCATACAGTATTTGTCTTTGTCTGACTTATTTCACTTAACATAATGCCTTCAAATTCCATCCATGTCACAAATGGGAAGATTGCCTCCTTTTTTATGCCTGAATAATATAATTATTTATATATATAAATAATAAAATTTTATATATATGTGTATATATGTAATATAATCACAACTTCACTTATCCATCATGGGACACTTAGTGTTTTTCCATGCCTTGGCTATTGTGAATGCTGCTGCTATGAATTGTGGACGTGCATTTATCTCTTCAAGTTCGGTGGGGTTTTTTTTCTTTGGATATAGTCCTAGAAGTGGAATTTCTGGATCATATGGTAGTTCCGATTTTAATTTTTTAAGCTACTCCATACTGTTTTTCATAGTGGCTGAACCAAATGACAGCGCCACCAACTGCACGTGGTACCTTTCCTCCACGTCCTGGCCAGTGTCTGTTCCCTCTTGTCCTTTGGATGATGGCTGTTCTAACAGGCATGAGGTGGTATCTCATTGTGGTTCCAATTTGCTCCCTAATGACCAGTGAGCCAACAGGAATTTTTAAGACAAGATTTTAATATTTCCCCACTATCTGACCTCTTTCACGGAACATATACCCTTTCATACCTTATTACCAAGAAAGTACACGAGGCCAGTGATAGGACTATTAGGGGGTTCTGCATGAATGTCTTCCCATACTTCAGATTATTCTCTCGGGACTACATCTCATAAATAAAGTTACTGGGCTATGAGGCATGAATATTTTAAAAGCTTTTATATTAAAGTAAATGTAGTCAACTTTAAAAAAAAAGTCTTTTCAATTTATATTTCCATTGTCAGTAGATGAAGTCTCTCCTCTTCCTGCCCGGTGGCAGTTTTCAGCTTTAAGGTTGCTGATCTCATGAGTAAAATCAGCACTTCACTGGGGAGTAACCCAGCGCTCCTGGCGACCCCCTAGCTTCCCAGCCTTTCTGTCGCAAATTCAAAACAGGACAGACTCGGAGGGGCTCAGGACAGCGGAGGGCCTTTCGCAGCTGGGAGGGGCCCAGGGCGCACACCCTTCCACCGCCAGGGCCTTTAAGAAAAATCGAAAGCGGGGTGGTCGGCTGCATAACTCGTGGTAAGAAAGGCTGCGTTTCCAACATTTCTGTAGCATTTTTGTTGGTACTTTTACAATATAAAAAAGTTCTATTAAAATAAGTCCTTTTTGTCCTAAGTTGTAGTCATCTGCTTACACAGCGGCTCCTCCAAATAAATCAGATCACCTTTAGTGCAGAAACTTAAATCACGTCTTATTTCTCTTGGTTCTTGACACTTCATAGAATGAAGATGTATAAAGCATATTTTAAATGTTTATAAAGCGCTACGCTTTGGGCATGTTACATGGATTAGTCTAACTGCTTTATTTAACTCCTATTTAAATACATTCCATTTTCACATGTTAATGATGTTAGGCCAGATGACTAAACAAAAGCCTTATCTTAAAGGAAATTATAACTGTTGTACAACTAAGATAAAACATTAAATAGAACAGGGAGTATTTGGTAGCGTGCATGAGTAATATGTTAGAAGTGTATTAACTGCTAACAAAATGAGAGGTAAATATTAAGTATTGCTATCAATTATAAGCACACGGGTGATGAGCTAGGCTAGGTGTCTAAGAAATCAACATACGGATTATTAAATAAAAACAAACCAGAAAACTACCTCTTACAAATCTCTGTAATTTCATGTTCTTTCCCCACCCCCAAAATTTCATACTTACATTGCTGAGAGGCCTTTAAAATAATTGAGGGCTGGTAATCTTATCCTAGAACACCCCTAGTGGCAAAAAAGGCAATTCACATATAGTTTTACAGCCAAGCAAAACTGGATGTAATCAATGAGTATCCTGACAGTAACGCTTAACTGAAAACATTTAAAAATATATATATATCTTTATTGATTGCAGAGAGAGGAAAGGCAAGGGAGAGAGAGAGAAACACCAATGTGAGGGAGACACACTGATTAGTTGCCTCCCACAGGTGGCTGGGCTGGGGATCGAGCCAGAACCAAGGCACATGCCTTTGGCCGGAATTGAACCTGGGACCCTTCAGCCTGCAGGCTGACGCTCCAACCACTGAGCAACTGGTTAGGGCAAAAATCTGTCCTTTTGAAGTCAGTTACTGCAACTGCTTGTCAGCTCAGTGAGGAGAGCCATGGCTGCCAGGCCGCCTGCAGACCTGACTGAGAACCAGCAGTGACTCATGATCCTCAGGCGACTGTTTTTTTGTTTGTTTGTTTTTTAAATATATTTATTGATTTCAGAGAGAGGAAAGGAGAGGGAGAGAGAAACATCAATGATGAGAGAGTCATTGATCGGCTGCCTCCTGCACGCCCTGACTGGGGATGGAGCCTCCAACCCGGGCATGTGCCCTGACCAGGAATTGAACCCTGATCACCTGGATCCTAGGTCAAGGTGCAACCACTGAGCCACACCCGGCCAGGCAACTGAAAACATTTTCAATGAGACTAAAAATGTGTGTGGCTATCATTAACTGTTTTAATGATTCCCTGCTGCTCTGTTCAATAAGTCAGTTGGAAAAATCAACCTGTCCTCTTAGTACTAAAAATACACTCACCGTGTAAAATACCTCCACCTGCAATGCGAATAGACATTTCTGCTCTTTGTAGCTGCACGCCTCTAGTGTTTTTTCATTCCCTGAGCTTCTGCTCATGGTCGCAGTGCTCACCTCTAGCCTAAGGAAAATTGAGTACAAATTAAACATGTCTAGTCTGATATTTTCACTAGAGAGAACTCCTGTTTAAAATTTTGAACATGATGGTCTAAATCACTAAGTATTCATCACTTTTGCCATTAAATTGTGTATTGCCTAATTAGAAACATCCATAATGTGTTTCAACTCTGACCTCACTAAGTGTTTTCAATTGCTAAATTTTATTGGCTATGAAGAGACTGTTTCAATGCCTTAAGAATCTGTGACAAAACATACTTATCTTTAAGGTCAAAAACACTTCAATAAAATAGTAATAATTTCTGTGACAGCTGATGGCACAAAAAAACTGTCAACAAAAAGCTACTCTCATTTTTAAAAATCTAAAAATCTATACTTTTTACTTTGAACATTTCCTTTATATTTCAGTGTTTCTATCTATATCTGGCTAAAAGATAAGACATCAATGAAAACCAACTAGCAGTTTTTTGCTTTGTGTCTTTATTGAATAGGTTGAAAAATGAAAACTTATTTGTAACAAAAAACAGAGTGAACAGGAGACAATTATAATAATCTTACTTTTTCAAGCTGATAACTTTCAAAATAATATGTAAGCAATTTTTTATGTTTTAACCTTACAATCTTTTAAATTCTACCACAGTGGCAAATACTTGTGAAAACAAATAAAAATAAATGATGTATAGATCTAGGAAAATTTCTTAAAAACTGAACTATTGCACAATCAATGTGAGAATGATATATGAAGTAATATAAAAATGTATCTAAGTACATTGTCAGGTTGCACGATTCATTTCACCTTACTGTTTATAATGATCTCTGTGCTCTGGGGTTGGATGATATCTTACGAATTTATTTTCCATGCAGTACATCATAACATTTACTTGCTACTATAAAATTCAGTGAGAAACAAACATGTACCACCTTATTTGGGGATCATTTCTCTCTTTCCTTGAGCAGACGAAAAATTATGTGGTACCATATGGCGAATCTAATGTTGAATCTAATGAAGAAAATAAACAAAATAGAAATAGACTCATAGATAGAGAACAGACTGATAGCTGTCAGAGGGGAGGCTGGGTGAAAAAGATGAAGGGATTAAGCAAAAAAATAAAAAACTCGTAGACACAGACAACAGCATGGTGGTTACAAGAGGGGAAGATGGGTGGGGAGGTGCAGGGGGGTGTCGGGGAGATAAACGGTGATGGGAGACGGGACCTGACGTGGTGAACACACTGTAACATACAGATGATATACTATAGAATTGTACACCTGAAACCTACATGATTTTATTAACCAATGTCACCCCAATAAATTCAACAAAAAATACTGGAATGACAATAGAGCTCAGTTCTAGATAAAACAAGAGTTAAAGTTCTTCAAAGAATTTATAACAATTAGGACAGAGGACCATAAATTATTGAGATGGAAATCTAATTGTGCATTACTCTCCTAAATTTATTACCGCTTATTCTAGTTGGTGGACTCTTTCTTTTTTGACCAATATGACTGAATAAAGTCAACCAGAAATAAATTAATAAAAGTCAGGATTGAAACTCTAATGTAAGTAAAATGACAATTCCCAACACATTAAGTTTATATCCCCTGCCTGAATGGGAAAAAAGAAAATCAAAGAATAAAATCATAAAGTACAAGCATAAATGATTTTCAAAGAAAATTCTAAGCCAAATTTCTACATTGACCCTTATATTGAACAGAATCTTAAGCAAGAAGCTAGAAATTGGCTATGAAAGATTTGCTACTATGGTACACGGAGTGTGACAATGATTAAATGCTGTATTTTAGCCAAGGTTAAGGAGTATAACTAAATTTTTGTGAATCTTTATAATACAATCAAAGTTGTTGGGTTTAACAGAAATTACTACTGAGTCACTAAACTTGGCTACACAAGCAGAGATTACTACTAAATACTATGGTACACGGAGTGTGACAATGATTAAATGCTGTATTTTAGCCAAAGTTAAGGAGTATAACAAAACTTTTGTGAATGTTTAATTACATGTCAGGTGTTCATTAAAGCAACGCATTTTCAGTGGCTTTTTATTGCGATGTGAATGGTGTTTCAATATGAAAAACTAAAAAGGAAATATGAGTAGGAAAAATTAGATATTCTCTTAACCTACTCATAACTACATCTAACTATACTTCAAGGGACTAAAATTTGAATACTTTTACCTGCATGCCCTCCACTGATAATTATTAGCAAAATTATTATTTACTTGGTGAGGTGTTTTGTTTCAAAATCCATTAAAGTAATTTATTCTACATTCCAATGCATAGAAATAAACATGAGATTTTTGAAGAAAATATTTGCATCTTATATTAATTACATTTTCAAACTTTGCAAAAATGAAGTAGTAAATTAATACTACTCTTTAGACATGAGGTTATGGAAAAGAAATAAGTAAAATTTGAAGATGCAGTTGGAAGTAAAAAGAATATACTTTCAACTAATACACAGAGGTAAAAATTCAGTTATAACTAGAATAAGATACATTTGTATTTTCAGCCTTGTGTCTCTGGAAAGGAAATTGCATAATTACATTTTCAGAGAATGAGAAAGAATATTTAAATTATACCATTAATCATACAGCGAGTAAAGAAAGGGTAACACAGAACTTAGGGGGTTTTTTTTCTTTTTAAAAATATTTACAAAATTGTTTAAGAGCACTACAGCAAAATGACCTCACATAACTAACTGTAACTAAAAATATTCTCTTCAATTCCAAAATTCCAAGCGTCTCATCCAATTAACATAGGTACTATGTGAAAATAGGCACCAAAAATAAAATGTTTATTCTGATTTTTTGCTTATAGTAATGATCATCCTAAAGCACTAGTGTTTGGGGGTTTATAGTAAACTTAACGTGTTTTAAAAACAACAGAAGAGAAATACCTAAGTTAATGATTCCACTTGAAATTATTTTCTGACAGATAAGTGTTTCCTTGAATGGCACAGTTGGGGTATCAGGTATTTATTATATACAGTATATGTACACATATATACACACACGCACGCACACACATTATATAGCTAAGGGGTATACTCCAAAAATTGCTGAAAAAAGTGTAACGATTTTAGCACAAAATAACTAGAGGAAGTGCTCTAGCTGGAAGCAGCAACAGTTATCAAACTCTGGACTTCGCTCCTTTTCATTGGTGATTTTGTTCACAGAACCATCCTTCGAATGCCACATTCACAGCAGAACTTGGCCCATTCCACAGGGTATTTAGTCCCACACTCATGGCAGAATTTTGGCAAGTGTCCAGATGAATTTCCTTCGATGCCTCTAATGTTTCCACCATTGAGTGAAGATACATAGTCTCCATCTGGCCTGCAGGAGTACAGAAAAAAAGTTCACATCAGTTGTTTTCTACCCCAGTGATACTTGGAAAAGGCATGACTAAATGCCTTTATGTGTATTTATTAAGCATGACTAAAAACTTGCTTAATCTCATTTTTAATATTCTTCCAGTTCAGATTAAAAAAACAAAACCCTCTTTTATTTTACATTTTTTTAAGTTACATTTTTTTTTTTTTTTAATCCCTACCCAAGGATATTTTTTCCATTGCTTTTTCAGAAAGAGTGGAAGGGGGAGAGACAGAGAAAAAAATCAATGCGAAAGAGACGCATCGATTGGTTGCTTCCCACATGTGCCCTGACCGGGGCTGGGGATCAAGCCTGTAACCGAGGTACGTGCCCTTGGCCGGAATTGAACCCAGGACCCTTCAATCCGAGGGCCAACACTCTAACCACTGAGCAACCGGCCAGGGCTTAAGTTGAATTATATATCTGAGGTATTCCATTTGCCAGACAACATAAGTTTGGTTTTAGAACCACTGCACTTCCATTCTGATCTCATCTCTGAAAAACAATCTCATCTCTGAAGAAACATACTCCGTTCTGAATTTTATCACTAACAATGAAGGTCCTAGTCTTCGGAATGCACCCAGCTGTTTGTTATTTAATGATGCCTGGAGAAGAAGAAAACATAATTCGACTTTCCTCTGCTTTTTACCTTTACATTCCCAAATTTTTATAATCACAATGCTGGGTTTTGATTTTCCTTCCCGCTATCTTTTAAAAAGTTAATTATTTTTATTTTTCCGTTATATTTGGCATACAATATTATATTAGTTTCATGTGTGCAACATACCGGCTAGACATTTATATAATTTATAGCGATCACCCCGGTAAGTCTACTACCCACCTGCCACCAGGCCTTACGGGGCTGCTGACTGTGTTCCGCGCTGTACTTCACGTCCCGTCTGCTCTTCACTGGCTACTCTGACACCTTTTCCCTTTTCTCTCATCCTGTCTACGCTCCTCCATTAAATGAATGCAACTGGGTTGTAACTTTGTGAATGTAAAGTGTTTTGTTTCAATAATATCAATTAGTAGGACACTATATCTTAAAAATAAGTCACTGCTTTCATACCCTCTTCCTTTTTTAAAAATTTATTTTTATTATTGAGAGTATTATAGAGGTCCCCCATCTCCCCTCCTTTGCCCCCTCACCCGGCTCCTGCCCTGCCCCAGGCCTTCACCACACTATTGCCTGTGTCCATGCGTTGTGCATATGTGCATATAAGTTCCTTGGTTAATCTCTTCCCCCCTCCTCCCTTCCCTCTGAGATCTGTTCTATGCTTCTATGCCTCTGGACCTATTTTGTTCATCAGTTTATTTTGTTCATCAGATTCTGCATTATAAGATCATATATTTCTCTTTGTCTGGCTTATTTCACTTAGCATAATACTCTCCAGGTCCCTCCATGCTGTCCCAAAGGGTACGAGATCCTCCTTTTTTACAGCTGTGTAGTATTCCATGGTGTGAATATCCCAGTTTTTTGTTGTTTTTTTTTAAAATATATCTTCATTGATTTCATCATTGATTTCAGAGAGAGGAAAGGAGAGGGAGAGACAGACAGACAGAAACATCAATGATGAGAGACTCATTGATCGGCTGCAGCCCGCAACCCGGGCATGTGCCCTGACCGGGAATCGAACCCCAATCGCCTGGATCCTAGGTCAATGCTCAACCGCTGAGCCACGCCTGGCCGGGCTCGCACAGCTTTTTATCCACTCATCTACTGATGGGCACTTGGGCTGTTCCCAGATCTTAGCTATTGTAAACTGTGCTGCTATGAACATAGGGGTCCATAGATTCTTTCTCATTGATGTTTTGGGTTTCTTAGGATATAGTCCCAGAAGTGGGATTGCTGGGTCCAACGGCAGTTCCATTTTTAATTTTTTGAGGAAATTCCCTACTGTTTCCCACAGTGGCTGCCCCAGTCTACATTCCCACCAGCAGTACACTAGGGTTCCCCTTTCTCCACACCCTCGCCAGCATTTCTTGATGGCACTCATTCTGGCAGGTGTGAGGTGGTAACTCCTTGTAGCTTTAATTTGCATCTCTCTGATGATTAGTGATGTTGAACACCTTTTCACATGTCTCTTGGCCATCTGTATGTTCTCTTTGGAGAAGTGTCTATTCAGATTCTTTGCCATTTTTTAATTGGGTTGTTTATCTTCCTGGTATTGTGTTTTGTGAGTTCTTTATATATTTTGGAAATTAATCCCTTATCAGATGTATCATTGGTGAATATGTTCTCCCATATGGTGGGTTCCCCTTTCAGTTTGTTGATGGTTTCTTTTGCTATACAGAGCTTTTTAGTCTGATGGAGCCCCATTTGTTTACTTTTTTCTTGTTTCTGTTGTCCTAGGAGATGTATTGACAAAAATACTGAGATTTTTCTTCTAGGATTTTGATGGTTTTGTGACTTACAATAGTACTTATGTCCAAACTATTTCTTCAGCATACAAATGGAAAGCCAGAATAAGAAACAAAGGAAAAAAATCAGATTTTTCTATCAAAGCCTGATACATATCTTTGTATGTGGTCCTTGGAAAACTATACATATTCAATTTTGTTTTGGTTATTAAAATAACAGAGCTAAACATACCTGGCTATGTAGCTCTCACCATATGTTTTTCTTTTGCTTGTAAGGACACCTGAGGCAGGGTTTCGTGCCAAACTAGGTGGTGTGGAATTTCGAGGTTTGATGTTAGCTCTAGAGAGAGAAAGAGGTGGCAATGAAAAACTATTGAATTGTAATCATTTATTTCTCAAATTGCTATCTGCATGATTAGAAAAATAATTAGAAGCTGAAGAGAGGTAAGTCAAAAGATTAAAATCCAAATACTTATTTTAAAATGGAAAACAGTAGTTAACAGTAAAGAAAAACCAAAGTATTTTGCATTTACTAACATTCTTTTGATGGTATATAAAATCAATTAAAATATGTATATATGCTTTACATGAAATGTTTAATTTAATCATTCTGAAAACCTTCTTGTGTTTTAGTTTAAAATTGATAGTTTGCACAAAATAAAAATGTGGCTTGTTAAATGTCTACAAATACCTGTTAAATAATGTTGAGCATATGAGATGAGGTTAAAAGTAATTAGCTAACCACTTTAAACACTGGCTAGCCGCTTTAAAGAGTAATATTCAATTTATGAGAGTCTGTTGTGAGAAACATTAACCCAAATAAGTGTGTTAATATAATTTTCCCTTTAAAGATTTAATTTCACTAGCTAAAGGGTCAGGGCTATTGCTCTCAGTAGTGGGGAAGTCTTGGTTACGACATCACTGATTCCTTTTCTGAGACTTCAGGTATCCAAGAAAAATTAGATGGATGTATGACAGTTAATGGTGAAAGTACAGGCTCTGAGATGCAGATGAATCTGTATTCAAATCCCAACTGCTACTGACCAACTTTGTGATAGTGATCGACCTCTCTGAGACCAAGTTCCCTCATTTATAAAATGGGACCATCCTCTTATATAGGAAGTTACAAGACATAAATTGCAATTGATATGAGCACTTAGCAATGCTGCTGCTGCTAATACTATTACTATGGCTATTGCTACTACAAATTCACATGTATGTGATAATGCTTACTATATTTGGTACTGCTACACTGCCTTCATATATAAACTTATTTTATCCTCACAATAACCCTATGAAGTAGGTAGAATTTATAACTGCACTTTACAAATGTGCCAGCTGAGGCCAAAAGTGGTTAAGTAACTTACCAAGGTGACCCAGCCAGTGCGTTGCTGGACCAGTGGTTAGATGATCAATAAAGTATTAGTTCCCTCCCCTCTAGAGATTTACCTGAAATTTTTCATCTCAGACATAACCAATGTTATGTTATATAAACAAGCAGAATGCTTTTTAAATTTCCTTTAGAACGAAAGTTCTTAAATTTTGGCTCAAATTCTTCCTTGTCTACTTACACAGCTAAGTTGGAGAGAATTTTCTAAAATTTCAAATAGCTTCCTTGAAAATAATGTAGGTAATACAGCATCTACTATTTCTCAAATACCACTATATGTGGAATACGATACATATGTAACTTTGTTTAATCTTCATAAAAATCTCCGAAGATATTATTCCCATTTTAAAGTTGAAGAAACTCATATTCAGAGAGATTAATCTGCAAAACTATTACATGGCCAGAGTACTTGACCTTGAATTTAGGGGATTGTATTACAAATCTTATGTTTAATATGCAATGCTGTCACTCAGAGAGAGGCTGCTTTGAATAGTTGTTTCTAAATTTCTACAAGAACCACCTTTCACCTTGGAGTGTGGGTGGGCTACCCTGGGCCTCAAATGGCCTTCAAACAGTCACTGAGAGTCCCTCTATGGGGTGTCTTCTACTCTGCTGTTCAACAGCCCCTCTAGGGATGTTGCAAAACTGCTACTGGGCCTTTTTAAGAATTCAACCTCTAAAAAAAATCATGGCCAATAAATGGCAATTCCTCCAGTGAAAGTCATAAGAGAAATAGAAAAGACACCTTTTTTTATATTTAGGCTCTGGAACCAAGCCTTGCTAGAAGTCCTATCACTTTCATATAATGTGTACATGAGATATACAAATACAGGCACACCCATAAGTACACACACACACACACACACACACACACAATTTCACCATATCAATAATTTAAAGTTGTTAAAATAATTAGAAAAAAATTAGAGAAAAAATAAGATTATAAACAATAGCCACCGTTATTAAATGCCAATCACAAATTTTTGGTAACATCTTCTAAAAGTCTGAATCTGATTGTTAAGAACCATTCTTAGAGATTGGGAAATCTTGATTAGTACTGGGCACATGTTGCCCTGGCCTCACGTGGTCTGCCCACTATATAGAGTTCCAGCAGTTATAAAGGAAGGTGTAACTTTGGAAGTGTACTTCATCTAGCTTACTGCTAGTCAGTGTTTCTTTGGGATCTGCTTGGGGCCTATAGACAGCAGCAGTAAGACAAAGAAAAATGGCTCAGGGCAGATTCTTCCTTCTGGGATTTATCATTAACTACTTAAAAATAACTCAGGGCTGCTGGCTGCCAATATCTTCAAGACCTTTCCCATCTTTATTTTATTGTACATCTAACTAAATGTATTACCTTTCATACACGGTAAGAGAATACTGTATAGTAGACCTTGGTTTAAAAGTTTCCTAAGTGAACTCTGTCTAATAATATATTTTTCAACTCTAATAAGTAACTCAATTTATTACATCCTAATTTCATAATGTTAAAATGAGAGGGCTAGACTTGCACTGGAGCCCAAAGTAGTAACCTTTGAAGACGCATGTGACTTTTTTATCCTTTCCCTGTTTTAGGTGGAATTTATAACTATCTAATGGAAAGACTGAGGATCTCTAGATGAAATGTCTTCTAAAATCATTTTTTCTGCCTTTTTATAACAATTCATCATCTGCCTAACTAAAAGATAATCTAGCAATATTATATAATGTATATGGTATAACATTCCCTATACTCATCTTTTCAAAAATATTACTCTTAAAAAAGGGCTTCTTACAACTTAGAAGTAATGAAGGTGACTGCTATTTTAACCCTTTAAAATTAAGATTGCACGGAATAAAGTGTGTGCTCTAAAACCAGCTTTAGGACGATAGAAATGTTCACCAAAAATCAAACTGTTTTAAGTCTTAGATTATTTAGCACCTCTTGGCTTAAAAACGATTATAATAAGATTTTTTAAGTATGTATAGGAAGATACAAGTTTCTAGCATTCAGTATATAAAGCTTTTAAGGAAATATCTGAAACAGATTAACCAAACTGCGTTACAAATACTTACTTGTAAATGGGTAATAACTCATGTCTTTTGATGGCACTGTCTGATTTTGTGTCACTGTCATACAACCTTTGCACATGTCTTCCAGTTCGAAGTGGAGGGCCTAACTTGTCCATCTTACTATTAAAATATATAAAGGTGTACCCATAAGGAGATTGCTACGTTTATTTCTTTATATAATTTTTTTTTAAAAGACATTATTCTGATTCATCAGAAATCCACCTCCCAAGCTCTTAATTATCTGACTGCCTGGGTAAGGGCTAATGTCAAAAAGCATCTTCAGATGGTTCATACAACACCCACTAGTAGTTATAAAAATTCTGACCATGCAGGGTACCTTGCCAGTTTTGATGACTAGCTAGAGAAATGCCACATTTGTGCATAGCAGGGCAATGAAATCAATAAAGACACTTAAGAAAACAACTCTCAAGTAAAATTTGTGAAGCCAGATGTGAACTGAAAGTTGTTATTCTAGTAAATGAGGCAGACCCACCGATACCTGCTCCTCTGGAGCTTCCAAATAACCTCCTGTGTCCCTCCCTTGAATTCACAGACCCTTTTTTCCCCTTCTCATTTCCCCTGAATTTTAAAATTTCAAATAGAAACATAGAAACTAAGAAACCAAATAAATATTTATATCTTTACCCAATTTGACTTTCTATCAAAGAATGGCTATTTTAGAAATTTATTCAGAGAAAAGTAAAAATGATCCTATGTGAAACCATGGATAGAAATTGAAAACTGACACATGAAAACGTGAAGTGGCCACGCCACAAGTATAAAGGGTTCCATCTAGAGGGGAATAGAGGAATTGCTGGTGTGTAGACATTTCATTGTTTTACATCAACCAAGTAACAGGATCATACATACTATCACCAACCAATATGCATACATAGTAGGAAACAGGGAAAATTAAATTGTGAAATTAGGAGAATTACCTTAAATTCCTACTGAGTAACACCTCACTGCTTGTTAACTTTGAAAGTACACTCTTTGTAAGGGATGCTCACTCAGGCCTCCACATACCGCTGACTGCAAGCCCTGAGCGCCTGCTGTGTATCAGGCACTGTGCTCCCTTCTGGGGGGACCATGGCAAGTGGGTCAGGCTTGATGCTCATTCTTACAGAGTTTGGTGTCTAAAAAGGGTCTCTAAGGAGGGACACATTTGATCCATTTTTATATTCTTTTACTATCTTGTACATAGCAGGCATTTTGTTGGGAAGGTTGATATTAATATTTGCAAGTGGTGATGTTTATATTACTTAAAACATTTTAAAGTTTTAAAAAATGCCTTCATTAAATATATATTAAACATAATTTTTTAAATGTTTGAGATTAAATTTGATGGTTTATTTTATTTGTGAAAGTTTATTGGAAAAGTTACCTATTTGGAATTTAAACTAACAAATCAGAATTTTCTTTGAAGTGTTTAACAATTATCAAAACATTATTGTTCCAACTGCTATCTTAACAAAATGTATCTGGATTTAGAATAAGGAATGAAAGATTTTTTCTTTCTCAGAAAAAAGTTACAAAAATGAAAATTTAGAAAATTTTAAACTACACTTTTTTAATGGTTAAGCTCAATTTATTTTTCATTTCTTCATTTAGAAAACATGTACAGAACATCTATTAGAAAGCAAGGATAATAATAAATTGATAATTTTAGTTATAAATGTCACAGTTCATATTTTGAATTAAATAAAATTTTTGGTGTGTTTTAAACCTAATAATATACATTAAATCAAAGGGATATTATAAATATTGATAAAACACTGTTAGAAATAAGAAATTTTTGCCAAAGATAAATTCACCTAATTTCAATACTTTTGTAAACTTTACATTTTAAGACAGATTCCTCTAATATAAGAACTACTCAGATCTTACATATGATACAACTTTCAAAAGGAGATGTATAAAATCTAATAAAAATCTACAGATAATTATCTAATGGAAATATTCCATATATTCCATATATTAGAGGATTGCCAGTATTTTCGGATTTTGAAAACCTAATGGAAAGGTAGGTTTCACTGATGATTTATCATGCCATATCCCTGTGTTATAAATTCAACTCCACTGAAACAATTCAAATGTTACTTATGCTAAAAGTAAGTAAATATTCCTCTTAAATGAGAAATTACTTAAATTTATGTCCTGCTATAATTTGCTACTTTATACCATATATGTTCATATCAAGGTATAACCATACGAAACCTAAATTTATAAATTTCAATAGTGTAGTCAAGATTTTATATGTATATATACTTTATATATAAATTATATATAATGTATTTGTATGTATAAATTTTTATATAGGTAAAATCTTGATTACACATATATTTTTGAATACCATGTAATAAAAGTCAATGTCAGGGTAATTAAATAAATTTTTAAAATATCAGTTTATGAAAGAACTTTCAAATACTTAAATCTCTCCCTAAAGTACCCAGATCTAAGATGTAACAGACGTTTCTCATGTACCATCTTCATATTCATTTTGGTGTAAATAAACACTTCCTTGCTCACGTCTCCTTTTCTATCAAACCACTTATTTCTGTCTCTCCACCTCCAGTTGCACTAAAAATAAGTCAAAGCAGCAACAAGATGAAGGGAAATTAGAAAAGAAATTGAAATCTTTGCAAAAGTGATGATATCAAAAGGAATTTAAAGGCTTCAATCCAACTGATTGCTCTTTGGTTGAAGTTTCTTCTTTATGTCTTTCTTGGTCTTGCAAACCATCAGTTAGGAAGTGAACAACATGAATGCAGAAACCAGGAAGTCTGTATCTATTACGTGTCTGCCTTGACTGCACGGCCTTAGATGTTTTAAGTTATGAAAGAAATGCACCTTTGTTGATTTTAATGCTGAATTTCTACATCATCTACTTCTGAGGTTACTTTGAGAATTAATACATATTGGGAAAGTACAATGACAAATCCACTTTATTATGTATTTTTAATTATTCATACAGTTTGAGGAATATAATTTCAATCATCTGATAGTACCTCATTATGGAACTAACAGTATCGATATTTTTAGAGTATGCTTCAATGCCATTTTCATTTCAAGGCTCCAATTCAGTAATGACAATTATTATACACCCAAGGTCTGTAAGAAATTAAGGCAGTAATAAACGAATCCATTCAGCAGTAAAAGTAGTCTTGCTGCTGCTAAGGAAAAGAGAGGAGGGTATTTTGAAGCCAACTAAGCACTCCCACAAAGCAGACATTTTGGCAGACTAAGCAATCTGATCATGTAACATAACACAGAATTTCATTCTCATATATGTCCTTAAATTGGCACCTAGATTTGGTCAGAGTCAACATGAAAGTATACTTTCAATTCCTCACTATTCTTTCAATTCAATCATCAAAATGTGTTGGATCAATAAAAGTTAAAAAACACTTTGGTTCCACAGGTTGCTAATCTATAGCCAAAGTTCCTAGAGACCCCAAATGACCTAAAAAATAACAGTTCCATCTCTAGGTATAAATGAAGAATCCTTAAAAACCTCTATATTCAAATTATAAATACCTAATGCCTACAATAATTTGCTTATTCTAACATCAGGAGTGGCCAACTGCTCCTGTGAAGGGCTAGACGGTAAATAGTTTAGGCTTAGCAGGCAAGGCCCGCTCTGCCATCACACTCCACTGTGCCAGCGGAGGAAGGCAGCCCAGACAAGGCAAAATGCACGTCAAAACTAGACATTTCTTGCCCGGCCGGGCATGGCTCAGCATCTGAGCATCAACCTAGGACCCAGGAGGTCACAGTTCAGTTCCCGGTCAGGGCACATGCCCGGGATGTGGGCTCAATCCCCAGTTCGGGGGTGCAGGAGGCAGCCGATCAATGACTCTCATCATTGATGTTTCTATCTCTATCTCCCTTGCCCTTCCTCTCTCTGAAATCAATAAAAGATATATTTTTAAAAAAACAAACAAAAAAACTAGACATTTCTTTTTTACTGTTGTCAATATAAAGAATGAAGAACCAAATTCAATTTTTGAATTAAGAAATGTTCCTTACATGCATTCTGTTGCTCCAAATAAACTTCTGTTTTTCACAGTAACTGAACTTATGTCCTGCTATAAAGCTTTAAAATTTGATATTTTAGCTATGGAAACTTACCAGCTGAAATGTCCATTTCAAGCTGGTAAGTAACCATTAAGAAAACATAATTCTCAAGGCAAGACTAAACTCTGTGAAAGAATTCAAATGTGGCAATATTTATTTAAAAGCTCTGCATTTCATAATACTTCTGAAATCTCCTGGGATTCATGATAGTCATCTTCTAGAATAAGGGGAGATTTTCCATTGGGTATATGCTTTGCTTAAAAAAACTGTTAAAATTGGTTGACTCACAGTTTGTCTATAAGTTAATTAGCAAACATAAGACTTTTTCCCAGGACAAAGATATATTTTTCTGTGGTACGATTCCAATGCATGCTAATATTATAGATCACTGGCATGCATGATAAGCTGTGCACAAAGATTGTGTATATGCAGGCTTTAAATAATTCCAAATTATTGAAATTGTTTCATTTTACTCATCTCAGAAGATGCTCAATTTCTTGAACATTTCAGCTCACTAGGTGACTTAATTCCTTTATCCTGAATCACCTGTGTCAATGGAAATAACAGCTGCCATACAAACGTCCTGCAATTGTTCCATCAGTACCAGGACCATGATTCCGTGATGTGCCAACAGGTTGACAAACAAAGGATTTAATTTATTAATTCATTACTTTTTTTCATTTATTTGTCAAAAATTTATTGTGTGCCTATATGCCAGGCATTATACAACATTTTGTAGTTACATCTGTAGGCAAGGAAAACACACAGGGCTTTCTGATCAGAGTTTATAATCTAATCTAGCAAGGGAAACAGGAAAAAGATCATTACCTCAGTAATTCTAAAAGACAAATGAAGTCTGCCACTAACTAGGTAGCCAGAATGGCTCTGTTTAATACAGTAACGTTCCAGTTAAAATAGTAATACATTAGCTAGAAGCAAACACCACCGCTCTCTTCCCAGTATCTAAAAACACTCCTTTAATATGTAAGAATCATGTGTAAATGGACAATTGGGATTTGAATAGTTACATTTGACAGTTTAATACAATGTGAGAGATCCAGAAATTTTAATTCTTCATTGTATTATAAGCAGTACATAACATAATAGTATGTGCTCACAATCTTTGTTTGTTAGTAAAAACATTTTCTCCAAGGGATCATATAAATGTTGATTGGATTTTCTTAGGTCAGTTGTCACAGTGTCAGCAGAGTCACAGATGTTGTCAGAGACAGAAACAAGACAGGCAGAAAGTCAAAGTCATAAGGCTATTTAGTAGCAAAGTAGGGCCTGGAAGCCTAGTTTTCTAATTCAAAGCCAGTGCCCCTTTCGAATATACCAGCCAGCTTCACATGCTCTATGTAAGAATACAGGGTGTCAATATAACTCACTATCACCAACCGATAAAATTACCAGCATGATGGGTGAGGTACTGAAAAATGCCAGCTTTTAATGCATAATCAGCTGCAAATGAAACTATAAATAACACTACAAACAAAAACTATAAACTAACATGGAGGGTAATTCTTTGTGATATGGTTAGAAAGGCTTTGTAAGTTAAAACACACAGGGCTGTGTCTATCATTTAGTTACTAAAGTAAAATCAGTAGAGAAGCAAGAAAAAAATCAAATCGGGTTTTAGCACTGGAAGCTGAGAACCTCTTACTTTTCAAACACGTGACCTACTGATAACCTCTCTCTTTCTGAAGGACAGCTGTCTCTTCTTTTTGGAAGCACAACAAAAAGAAAAAGAAAAAAACATTTAACTAATCAGATCTTGGAAGTTGATTATTTTTCTTTTTCTACGAAAGAAATTAAATTCTATTCCTTCTTGCACTTTCTACATAGTCCAAATTAGGAAACCAAAGGCAATTACTCTCATTTCATATTTACTCTCATATATATTTCCTGTATAAAAACTAAAGTAACAACCTACATCTGAAAGTACTGTGTGCTATCCTTCCTATACCAACTTTATCAATGTTTTTAAAGATATAGACATAAGCCCTCCTTCTAATGGTGATGTAGAAATCAATGTTCTGACATCAAAATGGAAGAGAAAGTGAGTTTCTACTGAAAGACAAGGCCTTCTATTAAAATCTCTAGTGTTATCAATAATTTTCTCACAGTAGCATAATTGTTGAAAACTTAGTTATGCTACTTTATTGAAAGCCATGCATATAAAACTGTAGAAAAATAAAAGTTCTTAGAAAGTATTAAATGAAAGGGAAAGAATCACCCACTATTACTATTTCAGCATATTGGGTCTTTTTTGGTCTACACCTATTTTTCTAGTTTCTATCATAGCAAACATGGAGTTCATATCCCATATTCCACCCGTGTTAGAGCAGAATCAGCTTATTAAAATTTATATATTATATTATGGTTGCATAATATCTCTTTGTTGATTTCAGCATTTGCTCTTTGAAAAAAGCTAGACACATTTGGGTGATTTTATATTTTTTACATTATAATAAAAACATATGAAAAGAGACCAATGTTTAGAGCTAAAGAGACCCTGATTTGTATTCTGTTTCCAACTTTTAACAGCCGTGTGGCTTTGAGCAAGTTACTTTGCTTCTCTGACCGTCGAGTTAGTGGGGTGGTTTTAATAAAAACATATGTAAAATGTCTAGCACAGTGCCTGATACATAATGCTTAATAAATCATGGTTACTGCAAAAATATTCTATATTTCAAATGAATTCCTTAGCTAGAGTCCCCACGTAAAATTATTCATTCAAAAATATAAATGTTTTAAGACTCTTGATAAATACTACTAGATTTCCTTCCAATGTGGTTATATTTCAGACCCCCGACAGCAGTGAGTGTGATCCTGACCAGCAATATTAAAAGACAAATGAACTTAGAAAAGAAAATTAAGGTTAACGAAAAGGTCAATTATCTAAACAAAATAAAACCTTAGTTATATATATATGTGTATATTTCACTAATAAATTCAATTCTATGTAGACTTACCCTATATGAGGGGCTGCTATCCCTTTGTGTGAGGGAGATAAGGTCTGAAGTTTGTTTCCCAAAGAGCTGTTAACTGAAGACACTTTACCTGAAGGCACACCTTACAATAAAAAGGTATTAGTTTTAATGACACACTGAAAAGAAAAATCACATAAAATAGCATCTGACAAGGAAAATAATCACTTAGTGGCAATAAGAAGAATTGTTTTTTAAAAAGTGAAGTTTCCAGGTAACAACATACAGTATCCTTCTAATTTCTATATTTCTTTCTTATAATTTACATAAAAATAAAGGTACGTGTCAGTAGTCAATCCATTAAACATTTGTCTATTAAGGACAACTGTCAAGTTCAGAGCAGTATAGGTTGAAATGAGGGAAAAATGGTCAAAGATTCTAGAAAAGACCTTGGTAGGCTATTCTGAACAAATGCCATATCATTAACAACATCAAGGATATACACTGATGCTTTAAAAAAGGGACTATAATATAGCTAGAGTAGAAGCTATTGAAAGTTAGTTTATTTTTACCCCAAAATAATTACTAATCCTCCATATCTCTTGCTAATTATTAATCTATTTTAATAATCCAAATAGAACACTATCTTCATTTTCTTCTCTACCAACACTGTAAATACCAAGAAAGGAAACGAGTTATTTCATGGCTCTCATTACCTACAACAGTCTTGCTGGTGCCACTTGGCTGTGGTAATCGTGAAGATCCTGATGACACGGTCCCAGGAATATTTGACTTTTTAAGAGCAGGTGGCTTATACTAAAATAGTGAAAATGAAATATTTTACCAACACTGTTTTTGAATATCAACTGTAAATTAGTGTTTCATTCCCTTCAATGAGTAATCCTTTTACTCGCTACTGTGACCCAAAGTGAGAAAGTGTAGATTAGAAAGTGTCGCCTCAGAGAGACGTTTCCCAAAATGTTCCTTCTCAAAACTGGTGAACTGGAAGTTTGGCTCAGATGTTCCACTGCTAAAATAAACAAAGAGCAACTTTTCCCAGCTCACAGGGGAGAAAAGGTTCGATGGAAAATATTTCCTCAATGTTAGATTTTAACCACCAAGCAAGTATTAATAGAAAAGCTTACACCCAACACTGCTCACTGGGTGGTGCCGCTTTAAAGGTCATGATTTTACATGTTCCTGGGTGTGGTTTTATATTTCATATGTATAATCCAGCCACATTTCCTGATAAAAATGCATACGATTACATATCGGTCTGGGCAAGTTTTACAATAGCTGCCTTTTGCTTATCCCCAATGTGAAGAGACAGAGACAATTCTGGCTTCCCATCCTCACCAGACCACGTCAAAGGGATGGGATGTGGGTTGAGAAAAGACAAGCACATCAGCTTATCTTGTTTATTATTATTTTTGCTCCACTCTTTAGAGGGATATCACTATTAATTTTATTTTGCTCTCTTACGAGCCAAATTTTGCTCATTTACTAAATACAGAAATATCTTATCAATCACCTGCTCTGATATAAAGAAATGCACTTGCCCAGGGTTCCACCCCAATTTAACAGCAGAACAGAAATGAAGATTCAGGCCACCTTAGTGCCAGCCCAGTGCTCCACTATGTGGTGATCACTGCTCTTGCGAGTGTACCTGAGAGTTAGCCTAATGCAGTTTTTAGACTGTTAGGACTTTACGTGAAAATGAGCTTTAAACCTGAGTTTCCAAAATCAAATAATATTTTATAACCAATAATCAGTAGTAATACTACTACTAAAATGCTGCTGGCTAAACACAAATTTCAAAGTCAAACATTATAACTCTCCAAAATTCAGTATGTGACCTTTAAAAAAAATAAATCTTGATAAACGGGTCTCACACACACTCAAATACCATGCACATTGGAACTATTATGCCAGAAACCAAAATTTCTTGAACATATGGCAAATAGAAAACCTTTAATAACTGTCAGAGGAACAAATGACTAGAGACCTTGGAGGTAAGCCATATAAAGACAGTTTCTTTAAAAACCTGAGGTGTTTCTGTTTATTTTTTAAAATTTATTTTGAGAGAAAGAGGAAAGGATAGAGAAACATCAATTTATTGTTCCACTTATTTATGCATTCATTGGTTGAGTCTTGTATATGCCCTGACAGGAAATCAAACCCGCAACTTTGGCATATCAGGAAGACACTCCAACCACCTGAGCTCCTCGGCCAGGGCCAAGGTGTTTCTGGTCTAAAAGGGCATCTGTTAGTATGTCTCTCCCACTAATATACCAATGAAGACATTAGAAAAGATCTTAAAGTGAACAACAATATGAACAACAAGCCCTAACAGAGTCTTGTCAAAATACCAGAGATGTCTACTAAAAACAGGGCCCATAAAACTGAATTAAAAAACAGAATTGGCGACCCATTCATATTTTGTTAACTACCAAAAACGAGCAAAACGATCAGCATAAAGGCAGGGGTGTATTACATATGGAGAGGTCAAGCCTTTAGGTTGCGCTCAGGCAGGAAGGGCCCTGGTCGTATTATATATCAGGGACTATAAATTTTTATGTACATATTAGAATTTATTATTAACTTAATGGCTTACAAATAGAAAAAGGGAGAATATGCCTTTCAAAAGGTGCTTTGTTTTTCTGCTTTCTGTATTAGGCCTCCTACCATTTTATTCAATTTTATTGTCAGGTTTTCTGAGGTACCTAGAACCTAGCCCAATCTTATCTATCTCCTATAATATTTCCTATTACTTTCAATAAGAACTAGTCAGGTTAGTTTGCTTTCTGAATCCGCATACTACTCTGAATGCCCCTTGTTTAAAACATATTCACCTGCCTCTCAGTAAGTTGCTGTTCCCCTGACCTAGATAATCTGACCCCTTCCTCACTGAGTGTATTTTATCTATTACACAGCATCTAGCTGAAGTTCTCCCAGTGTTATAAAGGCTTTCGGATGACTCTAGCTAACAACAATTTCATGTAAATTCATTCAGAAGAACAAAATAATTTTATCTTAATATAATTAATAGTCAATATATATTTAATTCATTAAATGTTTGTTAGATGCTGATTATTTCATGTGTTTTTATGCAGATCACAAATCTAATAAATTTCCAGTCAAATATTTATATTTACAAAGACATTTATTGAGTGGAAAAGCTTAGAGAACGTAGAGGACATTCATTTCTTATAAAATGGCAGAAGGCACTACTGGGACCAACCCTTCATCCAAGCACTACAAATGCTCAGGACTGAAATCACTGTGTGCAGGTGAAGATATAGTTGCTATATAGAACAAGGATGCATCTAAGCATCTTTAGGAAAAGTACTCTGTTTTGTTTACTAATATACACCCAGTACTTGCTACAGTGTCTGATTCAAAGAGGATACTCAATAAAAGCTTGTTGAATGAATAAAGATGAGAAAATATAGGGTTAGGCTGAAATGAACATACACAACCGGGTCCTGATGAATCAGCACTGATGTCATTTAAGGTGGGAAAATCAACTACCAGGATTTCACATTTATCAATCATTTGGCACCTAATTGTTGGAATATACATTCTGTTACCTTCTATTGTACTCCCTTTGCTCTACTGGTTATTTTGTTCTTGAAACCAAAAATCCTATTACTGTTATTAACAATTTATATAAAAGGTAAGTATTTGACATCTGTTTGGAAGATTATTCAAAAGGAGCCACTGTTCTTTTCCCCACAATGATAATACTAATGAAGTGCTCTATTAACAATAACATGAACAAAAACTCAATGAAAGAATTCTCTCACGGAGGCCCCAATTATAATGGAGTCTTTACATTCAATGTTTTATTCATAAATAATGAGAGAAATTGATTTACTTACTTCCTGCTAGATTTACAGTACTAAAAAAGTTGTTTACAAATGAAAGCTTTGTAAAATAAGAAATCTGCTTGGAAGTGTGACATTATCAATGCTACTGTGTAGCAATATGCTTAAAGAAAAACAACAGTACTGTAAAAATCAGTTGCATACAACAAAACCCTTACATGGTTCATGGTGTGCTGAGAGCTTTCACATACACTATTCCACTTGGTTCTCACAGTACACATGTAGACCACCACTTACAGATGAAGAAACAAAGGCTAAAAGCAGCAGCTTGGGCCCTACGTTCATTTCCCCTGAGTATTACTCACTCATAACATGGAAACATTCGGTACTTATATGATTTTCAAATGAGAATTCACTGGCATTTTCTTACTCCCTTATCACTTCTGGTTTCCTCTGCATATGCTTTACCTATTTTTAACTTGTTTTCTTACATTTTCCCTAACACCTCTTTAAAATCTGTATGTTTTCAAGTTTCTACCAACTCAAGTCCATTTCAAATTAATTTTAATCATTTCTTTTCAGTCATTCACATTTCTTACTAAATCTATGAATAGTAATATATAAATTTTAGCAGGTGAGAAAATTGTACTTAAATGTTCTATAAAGCATAAACACAAAACAATCAACTTAAAAAAAAGTCATTCTCTTATTTGTTTGTAGAAATAATGTAGTGCATTTCACCTGTGTCCGAGAAGTCGCTTTGCCTTTGGCATCAGTGGGAAATTTGCCTTTATTACTAATCCGTGCTGCCTGTTCTTTACAGAAATTTATGTGTCTATCAGCCGCATTTTCATTAAATCTCCTCTGGCAATATGGGCACTGAATATAATCTAAAGCAAAAAAAAGAAACAAATAAATAACATAATACTTGAAATGGGACATAAAGAATTATGTTTATATGAAGACATAAGCACAAATAATAACAACTGATAAAATCTCTCATTTCCTTATAACCACCCAATCTGACTTATCTAAACTTAGTACAAATGTTTAAACAAATAGTCTACTAGTATATGATAAATTCCAATGTTCTCCCAGCTTAGAATCAAATTTTGAAGAAAAAAAAGATAAGTCCTCAATATAAAAAACAAGAAGAGGAAAAATATTTTTTTGTTTCTATAATGACACATATTCATCATATATACATATTTTTACATGGTAGACTAGTTAAGCAGTAATACACATTACATTCAAAACATATTTTAAACTTTAGGATCACCTATTAAAATCTTTTATTTCAATTAGAAGAAAACTGTCATAAAATAGTTTAATCAAGTTTATACAGTTTTATTTTTTCAGCAGTCCCAACAGATGAAAGAAGTAAAAACATAATTAATTCAAATTTAGAGCAAACATTTCCATGATAAAATATTCTAAAATGTAATGTATACTATAAATAAAATTTCCTTTAAAATTAAATCTCCAAATTATCCCAAACCAAATTTTGTAGCACTGTAAAAGATCTCAACTGAGACACTAAGAAGACATGAATGAAAAAATTCAGCAGTGCCAAAAAAAATCTCAATTTATTTCAAGTTTACTTTTGAGAGGAAGTCTACCCTTTAGAATTTATGCTCACCTGAAGCTCTGAAATTCATCCTGCTAATTAGTGAATAGGTCTAAAATATCTAATAACAAAGGAGTTGTTTGGTCAGGACTAAGAGATTAAAACTTTCTAAATGCCCAAGTCATGCCGAAGAAGTGTTACTCCTGCTCTCTATCTTATGTAAACATGAGAAATACAGCTATGTTAATAAGCTGTGATACACAAATACCTCCAAAACAGACAGAAAATTCAAGGGAGAATTAGAAGAGACCCAAACCCAGTTGGGTCATTCCAGAAATACTCCTAGAATTCAAGTTAATTACTCTAGAACAGAGGTTGGCAAACTAGGGCCCCTGGGCCACATCCATTCTGCCTACTACCTGTTTTGATAAATAAAGCTTTATTAGAACATGGCCACACCCATTTACTTACATATTGTCTATGGTTGGTTTCCTATAATAGTGGCAATACAGCTGAGTAGTTACAAAAGAGAGAGACCATGTTGCCTGCAAAGCCTAAGATATTTACTATTTGGCCCTTATACAAACAGTTTGCCAACTTCTCTAAAATGTTTAAAATGATCACTTCTACATTTTCTAAAAAAATTTCTCTTTACTAAGAAATAAATCCCAACCTAGAATACTAACACAATTTTCATGCAGTTATCTTGTTACATTAAAATACCTCTTCGGGCTACTCTAATAATCAATGTTAACATGTCAACAGTGCTATTTTAAACCTTTTTGTATCTTAATATCTCAGATGGAGTGGCCAGCACCCCACCCTTGCTTTTGTTAACAATCACAAGCAACTTTTACCCACTCGATGCAGAAAATATAATAATGCATGAGTTTGGGCATAATTTTGGTACATCAGTTTATGTGGTAATTTCCTCGCATGAACTGTACATTTTTGAAGCAATAATATGATTTTTTTCCTTCCCAGATGAGAAGATTCTAAAGAACTAAGCAACAAAACCCTCTGACTCCTACTGAATGACTACATTTCAATTCACAGTGAGAATAATTAAAATATTTCCTGGAATAATGACATTTAATAGTCACTACAATTATTTTAAAAATGATATTATAATGCTTTTTGCTTAAATAAAAGTATTGAAATGAAAAGATAATGCATTTCTATGTTCAACACTGATTATTAAGCCTAAATGCTTATTATTACCATTATTTTGTAGCAAAGCTTTCAAAGATTATGCTTCATCAGGTTCCATTATTAAGAATTAAGATTAATAACAAGTTAAAACTTATAAATTCTATCGATGTTCTAGCGCATGAACACTACTGTCAACAACACGCATATACCAGGGTCATAAGAAGGTGGAGGCGGAGGAGGGAGCTTGCCCCCCTCTTTCAGGGCCTGATCCAGGCCTTTAGCGGCTCTGATGGTGGCAATGAATTCCTCATGTTTTCTTCTCCAATTAGATGGTTTCTTTGGTGGTTCAGGCTATAAAAAAATCAATCAGTTTCAGAACTTTTTTTACAATAAATTGAGATAAAAGTTGAGTAAACGCCATTATTACTTTAAATATTCTGTTATCAGGAGTCCTTAAATGATCTCCTTCCCAAATTTACAATTACAAAAAAGAACTTTATGCAACTATATTATACATAATTTTGAAAATGGAACTAACTGTAACAGACACGGCTAAATTTATTTCTAGAGGTGCCACATGCATTTAAGCTCCCACCAAGAGTGTATTTCCATTTCTGAGTTTCTCCAACCGAGTATGTTTATCACACTTTTGGATTTTTAACTGATTAGAGGTGAAAAAGAGCTCTCTCTACGATTTTAACTGGCTTCTCTTACAATGAGTAAGAGTGAGCATCTTTTCACACCATTAAGAATCACTTGTATTGCCTTTTCTGTGAACTGTTTATATGCTTGGTCAACTTATCTGTTATCTTACTGGTCTTTTTTTTCTTAAACAATTTCCAGTAACTCTTTAGACAAGACTAGCCCCAACCCTCCCTACCAATTATGTCTGTCTTTTAAACTTGTCAAAAGGTTTTCTGATATGAAAATTACTTTTTTAAATGTAGTTTAATTTACAAATCTTTTCTTCATGGTCTCTGGATTTGTAGTAAGCTAGCAAGGCCCAATCTCACCCCCAGAGTAAAATGGGAATTTTCCATGTTTCCACCCAGAAATCTCTCATTCATCTTATTAACTTGGAGTTTATCCTGATGGATGGTGTGACATGTGGACTTGTTGTATTTCTGTTTGTTGGCAGAGCTGCACAGTTGTCTCGCCGTCCTTTACTGACATTCCTCCCCTCCGAACTGGGAAAGTACCATGACCATATTCTCTTTTGCGTTTGGGCTTGTTTCTCAACGTTCTCTCTGGTTCCAATGTTGTGACTATCCCTGAGTCAGTATCAGTGTTTTAAATAGTGAGACTTTATGCTATTTTAATGTTTGGTAGGTAGCCTACTTTACTCTGCTTTTATAATCTTTTCTGGTTATTCTTGCACAATACTGTTCCCTATGAACTTTAAAATTAGCTTGTCTAACTTTTTTTAAAGACTACTGTACTGTAACTGTAAAAATAAAACATTACATTCATAAACAACTTAAGGAACTGAAAATCTTTATTATGCTAGGTCCAACTATCCAAGAATATGAGATCTGTTTCCATTTGAAGAAGTGTACACTTTTCTTTCAGTAGTATTTTAAAGTATTATTTACAGAACTCTTATGCTTTTATTATCTTAAGATTTATTCCTAAATATTTATATTTGATATTTCTCTTTTATAAAGGGTCATTTTTATGTTGAAATTGTTGAAATATGAAATATAAAACCTAGTAATTTCTGTATATTAACATTATACTTCACTGACTTCTCTCATTATTGGTAGTAATATATCAGTTGATTCTTCTGGGTTTTCACCTCTTAACAATGGCAGTTTTACCACCTCTTTTCCAATCCCAATATACCTAATTTCTTGTTATCACCTAACTATGGGCTAGAGCTTACCATACTGGTTTGAGGTTAATCCTGTTCCTGACTTTAATAGAACTAGTTCTAAGCATCTTCCAATGAACATGATGCTGACTCTTGTGCTACCAGAGATTTATTTTGTCATATTATTAAAATATCCAACTATTCCTATTATGTCTTTATTTTTAAATCAAGAATATAGGTTAAACCAACAATGTAAAAAAATGGTCCTTTAAAAACACTAATAAGGCAAGACTAATCAAAAAAAGAGAATACAAATCATCAAGAATGGAAAATAGTACATGATCCAGCTCTTACAAACATGAGAAAGAAAAGATTATAAAGAAACTTTATGTTAATAAGTTTGACAACTAAGATGAAACGAACAATATCTTTGGCAAACACTACAAAACAGATACCAGAAGAAATAGAAAATCATAATAATCTTATATGTATTTTTAAATGAATCTATTATTTAAAAAAAACACAAAGAAAACTCCTGGCCCAGATGCCTTGCCTGTTGAATTCTTGCAGATGTTTAAGGGGAAAACATAGCAGCAATCCTTTAAAAACTCTTTTAAAAAAAACCAGAAAACAAAAGAACAACTTTCCTACTAGTCTTGCGAGAGCAACAAAATTTTGGTATAAGGAAAAATTATAGTCCCACTTGTCTCATGAACATAGATGCAAAAACCTTAACTAAATATAAGGACATTTCCATGCTCAAAATGACCAATTCTTTGATGTTTCTTACTTGATGTTGAAATGTCTGATCACAACATTCACCTGCTCCACAATGAGTATCACTTGTCCCCTGGTCAGTCCTGCTGCCCTCTTCTAACTTTTCCTCATAGTACCTGTATCAATTCTGAGCTAATGGTTTTTTATTACTAGTCATTGAATGAGTTAGGTTTTCCTGCTACAGCTATTTACAAGAGGTTTTAGGGAGAAGGAGAGGCCGAGGGTAGCGTTCCAGGCTACACAAACCACTAGCTCCCTTCTCTGTTTGCATCAGATACAGATGCCAATAAGGCCTCACAGTGTGATTACCCTTACCCCTTTGGCTTCTCTAAAACAATATGGGGCAAGTGTGCTGCCAGCCACACTTCCCTCACGCAAGACAGGGCCCTGCAGAGTGGGCCCCGCACCCTGGGAAAGGGTATTTTCCTTTTGCTAGTGCTTTCTGAGGGCCTCTGCCATTGGCGGGGCCTCTTAACTCTGTGCCTCTTCTCCCCACCTCCTCCCTCTTGGCTTTAGTCCACTTCAGCAAGACTCATTCCAGTTCCTGGCTATTCAAGCTCCTGCAGCTCATCCCAGTTCCTGCTTGGCTGTAGTAAATGGGGATAAATATTTCCTGGTAAGACCCTCACCATCAAGGAGTCACCTGTACACTGAGGAGACCCCTCACCTGTAAGATGCCAGGTTGCCAGGTTCCCAGGTTCTGGGCTACAGGCCCCCCAGCACTTCCTGTGCTTCCTTTATGGGTGGCTTCTCCTGGACCTCAGTTGCGCTGGGCAGCCCTTACATTCCGTGGTCAGTGGATTATGCCTGCCTTTACTTTCTCCAGAAATGGAGTTTGCATTTGCTTTGCTCCACTCATTTCCTTGATACAGATAAAGATACTGATAACTACACGACGATGTCCAAAATCTTCTAACATTCTGCTTCTCAAACTTTAAGACGCATACGACTCAGGCAAGGATTGGCTTAAAATGCAGGTGCTAAATGAGTATGTCTGGGTGGGCCTCAGACTCTGCATTTCTAACAAGTTCCCAAAATGGCACTGATATTATTGCTCAATGGACTACCATTTAAGTAGCAAGAATATAAATTACTGACTGTAAATCAATGGCTTTTACTTGATTTTTTCTGAAGATTAATTTTTTAAGTATATAAACCCATAAGAAAGACAAAGGATAACATTTATTAAGAGAGTGCCATGGATAAACTTATGTAATCCCCATAATAAGCCATGAGATAGATGCTACAACTCCTGTCACCAATTTACAGATAGACAGTAGTCTGGCCTCCCCCTTTCTGAAGTCTAAAATCAATAAGTTTGTGATCATTTCAAGCTGAAAACATTACACAAAATTATGGTTAATCTTCAGTCTTAGTATAACAGATCATTATTATAATTTTCATACATATATATATACACACAGAGAGAGAGAGAGAGAGAGACAGACAGACAGAGAGACAGAGAGAGAATGCAGCAAGGTTAATACTGTTTGAAGCTTATACAATTACCCTAGGTTTAAGGGGTTTTACTGTTGGAATATCAGTTCCTTCAGCTCTTTGTCTGCTTGAATCAAAAGTCTTCCGTTTTTTAGTGGCAGTTTTCTGGCAAATGGGTCCATGTTTTTTCTGTTAAGATGAAGAAACACAATGTATCGTTTTTATTTCTACAGAAGGGAAAGCTTTAAATTGTCATTTCAGACCAGTTTAAAAACCTGAAGTTGAAATACACAGTAAATAATAATAATAATACATAAATAAATAAGACATACCTTGCTTTGACTAAAACTGTTCAAAAGTATGTATAATGCATGCTATTAGTTATCTTTCTCACCATAAAAAAGTGTAGATACTCTTTCAAAACTGTGTTATTTAATATTCTCCTAGCTTCATACTGCAAAGAATAAGGGTAATAATGTCACTAAGTCAAAGCTATTTGAGTGGCGAAAAGCTATTTTCATCATTAAATATCTGAAAATAAATACTAAAAAAATGTATATTGAGACTGCATTTGTGTTTGGATTACAATGTCAATACAATAGACATGGTTTGGCTTACTGAAGTTAACATAAAATAACAGGACAAAGCTGTCAGGTTTGACCCCTGGGTCCTTCCTCCACAATCCCCCTTTCCTCCCTCCGGAACTCACGCTTTCTGCCATTCTTTACCACGGACTTTTCATGAACTATCTAGTGTTCCCATCCTACAGGTATTTTTCTTAACATGGTTGCCAACTCATTCATTCAATCATTCACATATCTACTCATTTTAAGAACATTACAACGGAAGCTCTCTTAACTGACCTCCAGTTAACCTACCTGATAAATAACCCTTCTCCCTCCGCTAAACAGAACACACTGGTGATGACATCAGCGCACTTAATGCACTTCTTTCCTTTCAGATTTTGATAAACACTAACTGAACAAGCTGGAACTGTTAAACGTTACCTGGGACAAGAGGAAACCTCCAAACTGGTTGATTGGGTGTCACGGAGCCTCTCATGTTTTTCAATACACAATTAGTAATTAATTGTGTATATATTTGTTTTCATTTTGACAAACAAGCACTGAAATTATAGCTATTAGAATAAAATCTTTTAAGTATTTAGAAGTGTGGTTAGCAGGCGAGTTTCCAGTAGATGTCTTTCTCATATTGAGTTGTCTATGTCAAAAGTATGTAGTGCTTGTCCCCAGAACTGAGGTATACACCAGTTGTAGTTGTTACAGTGATCACATCACGTAATTAAATCTATTACATAAATAAATGAAGGCAAAAAAGAACTTTTTTCTGTGAAAATTCAGCTGAATGCTTTGAAAATGATTTGATAAATAGTGAATTGATTTTTAAAAAATCACTGAATGTGTGAAAGCCATTTTTAAAGAATTAAGAAAAGAGTTGTCATTTAAGAAGAGTCTGTAGTCAGAGTGACATTTATGGGTCATTAATTCTTCACTTTGCTTTAAAGGAACAAACTGGAAATATTAAGAGGATGAAAAATGCTATATGGTAGAACTCTAATCAGCAGATCTGAATTCAAAGAAAAGTCTTTACGTCAAAATATTAATAGATGCATATTTATATTTGAAGGTACAGTAAAATATGTAAGGGCATAGGCATTTTTTTCCTTATTCTCTATTTAGATGCTATTTTATATTAAAATCAGTTAAAATTGCTTTTATTTGTATATACTAAATATCTAAAAAATGCATAATATACTTTAGGTACCCCTTTCATTGAAAAGTTTACCTTTGGACTGTTTCAAATGTCCATAACCACTGAGGAAATAACATAATGAACTTCCTTTTACTCATCACCCCGCTCCGATTACCAATATTTTAGCAATCCTGTTTCATTTTCCCCAGCTTTTCTTCCTGAAGTACTTTAAAGCAAATCCCAGACACTGTATCATTCTAAACCTTTAAATACATTAAAGGTTTAAACACATTAAATGCATTTCTAAGAGTTTTCCGTTCTGTTTTTGCTAATATCCCCACAAAGAGAGGACTACTTTAATACTTTCATAGGGAAGTTTCGAAGCCCAGTCAAACTCTGAAGGGAAGAAACCACTACAGCAGACGGACATGGACGGAAGGAACTTACACTCTTGAACAAAGAACACGAGCCAGGATCTCTTCCATTTATTCCACACAGGCTCTATCTATGAGAGTTATCCAAAAGTACTGCACGATTCCTGAGCTACTGAATCCCAAAGGAAGAAGGGTACTCACTAATGCCACTGGAAAAAAGGTTCTTCCACAAATCTTGCAAGGTAATAATTCTCCAACTTGGACACCTCCATTTTCTAAAACAGAAAAGAATGTGCTCATTTTATATTCAAACTGTGAAACTTCCAAGTTTTAATGTCTTCTCTTGGCTTCATGTGTAAGTTGTCAGTTCTTGTGAAAAATGTCTCGTTTCATCTGAAATAAGCAGCACTATCAATTAAAATGGGCACAAGGCTTAGAGTTTATCAGTGGTCAAAAAGGCCATGCCAAATACAGAAGCTCTGATGTAAAGATAACCAAACTGATATGTTGGAAGTATCTGATTTATTTTTAACCAAATCAATTTATATATTCTCTTAATTTATAAAATATCTCTATTGTAAATGACTAACCTTTAAAAACCAAATTTATCTTAAGGTTAGTATTACATATTATTAATTTTCAAAGCATTCAGAAATAACATTGGTGATCAGTGGGGTGGCTTCCTGGGATCATCTAGGACAGAAAGAATCTTGTTCTGTTTAACACATGTAAAATAGGAAGTATAATGCTTTAAGGAAAAGATCACCTCATTACTGTGCAAACAGGCACATTATATGAATTGTTCACTAAAATAGTATGTTCATACTATTTTAAAATTCAATGGTCCAGCAAGTTGAGATATTCTGACTTTATGGGCATTTTTCAAAATTCAAAAACTTAAGTAAAATAGAAGCTGAATCTTCTACTCAATCAAAAATTAATACAGGATTGCCTGGTTGGAGCATCCTCTCATACACCAAAAGGTAGTGGGTTCAATTCCCGGTCAGGGCACAAACTTAGGTTGCTGTTCGATCTCCCATCAGACATATGCAGGAGGCAGCGAATCAAAGCTTCTCTCTCACATCAATGTTTCTCTCTCTCTCTCTCTCTTGCTAAAATCAATAAAAACCATATCCTCAGGTGAGGGTAAAAAAATTAATACATATATCATGTACTTTCATGCAACAAATTTTGTTATGAAAGTGATAATAGAAACTACATATTTGGGATTCTACATAATTGAGTCAATTTGTCACTTTATTATCTTGTAAAAATATCAAATCTAAATTTATTTCCAGACCTGTAACTTTCTAAAAATGATACTTGAACCTGTATCTTTACCATATTTTCTGCTGAATATTTTACTAATTGTTACAATTCCTTCACCATATGAAAGACAAATAGAAAAACATTTTCTTTTAGAAGTAACATAAATAAACTTATGCATAAAGTACAATTATGACTTCATACAATTTGCTCCAAGGCATGTATTTAGTGGGTTCATGCAAACTAATCAGGAGAATCAAGAGACATTGGTGGGAATACAATCAAACAGTGACAGAGGAACTGGTTTGTTCTCTCTTCTCCTAATACTCCACTGCCCTATTTTAGTAGTAGATAGTGGCTGTTTGTCACCTCAGATGGAGGCAATGCCTGCGGTGGCAGTTAAACAGTGGACACTACAAAAGCAAAGGTAAGATTTGCCCGACTTGTCCTTCTCCAATACCAGAGGCCCGGTTATTTAGGGAGAGCAACTCCACTTATCTGGATCACTTAATCCAGGTTGCCGGATGAAATACATTAGGTGCATTAGAATAAAAATGTCTTCTCATGCTGAATAATCTATTTAGCTTGCTTATTTATAGTTTTCATGTATTCCCTTCGATTCTAAGCAATGATTTCAAAGTTCATCAACCCAAAATGTTAAAACAGTATCACATATTTTACTTGCTTCAAAGTATATTTCAGTGTCTCCTTGCTAATAGGTGACAAAGCAAAATCTTATAAAAATTAACTATTGAGAAAAATCAATTTGACATCTGAAAATAATATGAGTGCCTACTTGGGTACCTACTTGGCAAGCATGTACCAAGGAACAGTGACACAGGGTGGAATGACAGGATCATTGCTCTCAGAAAGCTAACAGTCCACATGATTTAGGTCTTCATATATCTAACAACCAAATCATCTCCTTTTTAAAAAAAAAAAAAAAAAATCAAAAACTTAAAACTTAACAGCGACTAGAAATCTACAATATAATAAAATTCAACTCCTGGGATTAATTCCTACAAATTATCCAACATGTTCAAATTGTCTTTAAAGGAAAAGAAAATCATTATCACTAAAAGACATAAAAAAAGAGGTATATCATTAAAGAAAAAGAACTTAAAAACAATTATCTCAAACAAAATATACAGTAATTACTTCATTCAAAATAAATAAAATAAAGATATATAAATGTATAATTTCCTTCTATTAGCTGACCTTAGGGCATTTCCTTATAAGGTATGACTAATCATACAGGCAGCCTCAGTTTAATGAGGACATAATATCTGTTCAATCTATCTTAAAATTTAAGAGGATCAACTGAGATGTTACATATAAAAATGCTTCACAAGCAATGAAATAAAAAATACTACTCTCCAGGCATGTAGGCAAACTCCACTAATCTCTCCTGAGCAGCAAAAGCTAGCAAGCTGTGCAGCTTATAAAAATAGAGGAGAGAGATGATATTCAGAGGGTAGATTATTACAGCAGAGAGCAAACACTGTAGAAAGAAGCACTCAAACTGATGGGCAGAACCAAGTATATAAAGTACTTTAATATTCTAAAACTCTCAGGAAGCCAACTTCACCTTACAAAATTGACCCTGCACACATTATTGATTCTGTTATGAGCTGCTGTATTTAGCAGCTTGAAAACCTGCACAATAAGGCTTGCAATGGTATCTTTAAATAATACTAGGTGATGTGAAATAATATGCTGTTATCTAAAATAGTTATGACATTCTAAAATGTATAACTTTTAAAAATAGGAGAGAGCATTTTCAAGAGAAAACACGTCCTAGAAATTAAGAACAGTGCTGGCCTCTGTATGGGATGTCTGTTTCCTCACCATCTGAATCCAACCTTTAAAGCTCAACAAGCCTCCCTTTTGAGGCATATGACATCTGTTATATCAGCTTTCTCCCTACAATCCTTTTTATTACTTCCAGTTCAACAATCTTTACTGTCTCACAGGATTTCCCTTTTTCAGTTCATCTTAGATTTCAAGAGTCACACTTAACCTACTCAATACATAACTATCACCCTCCACTCCACCTCAGTTCAGCAAAACCACCAAGGGCCCTCCCCTGGACTCTCAGCATACTCAAGCTCCTCCTCCAATCATAGACCTCTACCTTCTACCGCGTTCTCGATCACTTTCTCCATCTCAGAGTGACCAGCACGCTCTTGATAACCTGACCCTGGATGCACTTCCCTTTCTACCTGGTCTGAACCTGACTAGAGTCATTTCCACTACTTTAACCAATCACCCTCATATCCCTTGCTCCATGGTCAAATGTTTGGAAAATTCTAGATGAAACAAATGGGTTTTCTTAGAACACAGCTTTCTCAGTCTTAAGAAAGATTTAGTATGCCATTGTTTCCCCAACAGAAATCCTTTCTGTGCCCCCTCCCCCAAAGATATTTAGGATCAATGTCCAGAGTAGCACATTTTTAGAAACACATTTACTGACTAGCTCCTCCTTACTACCTCCCATTCACTACCTATCCAAACTGCAGGCAAACTTGATTAGGTCTAATCATTGTATTAAAATATATCCAGTTGATTCAGCAAGGACAGACATATTGAGCACCTACGAGAGGGCAACTGTTCTAGGAGGTAGGCAAACAGTGATGAAAAAAACAAATACCCAGATCTCATGAAGCTTCTACTCTTCTAAAAGGAAAAAACTTAAATAAAAACAATTAAATGTATGAAATGTCAGGTGGTGATAAGCACAATGTAGGGCAAAGTAAGGGGAGAGGGGACAGTCATAGTGCTATGTGTCTGTGAGCTTGGGAAGAGGGTAGGGTCAGGGAAAGCTGTTTCAATAAGGAGACATCGGAGTAGAGACCTTAAGAAACACCTTCATCTACTAACTGTATCATTCAAAGGCCTCTTATGAACCCTCATCCTACTGGACCTTTCTATAGCAGTACTGCTGATTAATCACTTCCACCTTTCAAGTCCTTTCTCTCTTGGTTTCAATGTTTTTCTCCCCAAAGCCCAAATTTTTCAGATCTCAAGCTAAGCAGGGTTTTACCTGGTTAGTAGTTAGACCTAGAGGACTACCAGGGGCCACAGGCTTTGTTCTGACACCTAATAAATATTAGTTTCTCCCCTAATGCTCTTTCTTGACAGTGGTTAAACTTCTTTAAATATCACTCCCCCCCCCCCC